CATGTAAAAAAGGCTCAGTCTAGAAGGTCCAGTTAAAAGATAGTTTCAGTTTTCAAAATGGCATCTATATAGTTCACCAAGTAACATGAGAAAAGAACTTGTCACTCATGTTGTTTATCTAAGAGTTGGTGTCCTTCAATCAAGTCCTCACGTCTATGTAGGAGAAAAATATTTTAAAAAGAAATGAAAAAAAATTCATTGGCCATTTTTCTTCTGCTTTCTCACTATATAACAATATAGAAGGCATTAACATTAAATTTGGAAACACCACTGAGCTGAAACTGCTCTCCATTTGATAACCTATTTCAAAAAGATTGCACTGGATGACACCTGGGATATTGGAGTTTGAGTCTTATCATCACTTAGTACTTGCATAAGTTTGGGCAAATTACTTAGCTTCTTCCCTGATCTGTAAAAGATAAATGATCATTCACTTACCTTAATGTTACTGCAATGCTCAAAAGCTTTACGCCTGTCAAAGCGCCCTGTAAAGGGATGTGGAGTGTCCCTTCAGCTCTGCCACTCTCTAATTACAGCCTGACCCTAGCCACCAAGCTGAATCGTTAAAGACATTTCGCACAGTTAAGAAGTTTTAATATAATCAATATAAAAGACTTTATAGCTGTAAAACTTAAAATGTCTTAGTCTCTTTTTTCCTCTCGAGTTCTCACCTATTCCCAGAAGTCATTAAAAAAAGACTAATAAATTTTGGCAACATAAAAAACTAAAATTTCTACACAACAAAAACAAAAAGCCATCAACAGAGGTGAAAAGATTAACTGCTAAACATCTGTAATACATACGACAAATAGTTCAAAAGCAACATGAAATAGGGATAATGACATAATTTTCATTAAAAAAAAGTCACAAGGATCCAAGACCAAAGATTGAAAATTGTTAATTTTTCCAAACTTCCTTAAAGATAAAAAGTGATTACATGCAAAGAACTCTTACAAATAACTAACAAAAAGATGGCCAATACCCACACAAAAGTGTTCAAACTTCCTCATAATTACAGAAATGTCAATAAAACTGGATACTATTTTCACCTATCCTACTAGAATTATTATTTCTAATAGCAAAAAAATAGAAATGATCTAAATATTTACCAAAAGAAACTAGTTAAACAGAATGTGGACATATATGCTATGCAGCTATTTTAAAACATGAAGAAAAACAATATGAATCAAGATGAAAAGAAATTTAGGAACTTCCTTTGCAGAATGGAATATTAGTTGCTTTTTATTTTATTCCCTTTATATTGTGAAAATTTAGGGTTACTTTTAAGTAAATATGTGGTTCTTCAAATTCAAATTGTAAACACTTGATAAAAAATTAATTGTATTCATACTCATTGCTCAAAGCCACCTATTACAAGAACTTTTTGACTCCAAGTCGAATTAGTATCTCTTCTGTGCTCTCAATAGTTTTCTTTGTATTGTTATCCTATCACTTAATAAGAAAGCCCACTATGTTATATTTATTTGTATATACTAAGAGTTAAAAGCCTAGACTCTAGAAAGACTACCTCGGTTTGAATTCCGGCCCATCCATTTACCAGTTGAATGACCATTAAAAGTTATTTAACTTCTCTGTGCCTGTTTTCTCCTTCGTAAAAAAGGAGTAATAGCATCCACCTCATAAAACTGGGGATTAAATGAGCTCATATATGGGAAGCTCTTAAGAGCACGTCCTGGCCTCTACTTAGCACTCAATAAATGTTAGCTAACGTTATTGAGCACAGACAATATCCTACCTACATTTATATCCTCCTAAACTCCCAGCAGTGTCTTGCACACAGAAAACATTAATAAATGTTTACTGGATTAAGCTGACTTGCTACAAGGGGATTCAAAGAGTAGCAAGGATGAGAAAAACAAGTTCCCTGCAAGTTTAATCTACTGCCCACTCTTCAGCACTGCAACCTTTGTGAGCCTGGCAGGTTTTTTGTTTTTACTGACAGATTAGGTAGAAAAGAAAAAGTACATTAGATTGAATGAGTGGGAAAAGGCAAAAAACATTCTGAGCCATGACCAATTTTTCCAGTAACCCCTGCTCTTTCCTCTAGCTGCCCCTCTCTTAGCATCTGACGCTTCCTGCCTGTTTCCTGGTCTCCTGAGGCCAGCTGAGTCATCTCTGTATGGCAAGAAAGGATCTAGTCTCACTTCTAAGGAACATATTGTGCTCTTTGGGTTTACAGGAGAGTCAGGCAAGCCTTCCTGGAAAGGCTTTCTTGTTAAACTTCTTACAGTTCCTAAGATTCAAAGAGCCAAAATTACTCCCCTCCCCCCTTCCACGGTGGCAGACGACTCCCAACATTGGGATGCCTGGCTTTTCTCTAGGAATGTCTTCATAGGGCAACAGTGGGGAAAGGTCGGAGATGGTCGCATAAGCCTAGCCCTGGCTTCTTCCTAACACTGTTGACACCCTAGAGAGGATGATTCTCCTCAAGCCACATGGCCCTCTGTACTTACCTTACCTTTCCCTCATCTACAGTCTACTGAAAACTTGCAATCTCCCCGTATAAAGTAGGTAGTCTCATTACCTTCAGCACCTTTGAGAGGTAGCATGGAAATCAGTGTGCTATTCCTGTAGCACAGAAAACCCCGGCTCTGAGACTTAACAGCCACACGACCTTGAGTAAATTGCTTGACCTAAGCCTCAGTTCCTTCATCTACACATTGCCGATTTCTGCTTTATAGGGTAACATTGAGATTAATCAGGCTCAAGTATATAAAGCTCTGAGTGTGGTGCCCAGAACAGACTAAACACTCAGTAAATGGGAGATATGTTGATAGGCCAAGATGACTTTGTGAATGAGACTTAAATTAGGCCCTCCAGCTCAGATTTTCCAGGTCCACGGCTGTGTGCCCCAAGCCATAACCTTCAGTGTGTGCTCTGGAAAGTACAGTGAGCCAGGCTTATTCACAGTGAGACTGCGGCCAACCATGGAGGAAGGGGATGCCAAAGCAAAATACTTGTGATACACCATTCAAACCCAAATATTTTACACAAAAAATCCCGTTACAATACTTCTAAAGGCACTATTCAAATTGCCTTGTTGCAAAAAACACTATTTGAGATGAGTAGGACATTAACTTGGTCTTACTCTATTATCACAAAAGAACAGTTAATCTGCTTTTGTAATAATGTGAATGACCTTGTACCACCTACAGGATAAAAATGAACTCAGAAATAAAATTGAAATGCTGTTAGGGAAACCAATTAACCAAGGATCTAATAAACACTGTAAAACCTTGCCAACAGAATGAAAGACGTACTAAATGCATACACCATGTTGTACGTATTAAGATGTCAATTCTTCCCAGATCATAATGTATTTTATTTGTATAAAGCCAATCAATATCCCAATAGGATTTTTTTTTAAGAAAAATCAAAATTGACAAAATAGGTACTAAAGCTTATCTTAAAGAGTTAAGTGTCCTAGAATAGCCACTCCACACAAAAACAAAACAACACAAAGAATAAGATCGGGTGGCTTCCCTATCAGGTACCAAAATAAAGCATCCAGCTATAGTGATAAAGCAGTGGGGCATCAGTCCAGGAACAGTAAATCCTTGCAAAGTGTCAGGGGTTCATGCCACCCAAGTGCTTTAAAGTAGAACTGTATTATTAATACAACCACCCCTCTTTATTGTCCCCACTGTTCAGATGATGAAGCTGAGGTCTAGAAAAGTTAAGTAACTTGCCCAAGATCATACGGGTTCAAGGCAACCGTCTGAACCCAGATGATTCCAGGAGCCCAATCTGTCTCACAAGAAAAATATTAATATTCATTATGTAGAAATCATTAAGAAAAAAACTCCTAAATAATCTGGTATAAAAATGAACAATATCACATGCAATTACATTAATATGCAAATGGGAATATATATATTAAAAAGCTCAACTTCACAAGTACTTGTTATTAGGATTGACAATATCTAGAGTTATGGAGAATGCTGGGAAATGGGTACTAATACACACCGTTGAAGTGTAAATTTATACAGCATTTTGGGAAGGCAATCTGACATTAAAACATGCAATTTGTATGCCTTTTCAGCAATTCCTCTTCTAGAATCAATCCCAAAGAAACATCAAACATAAGCATAAAGAGCCATGTACAAGGATATTGACTGCAGCTTTTTCGGGAAACACTAGAAAGAATGTAACTGCCCATCAACAGAGAATTTGCAACTAATCATCGTACATTCAAACAAATCATTGTACATTCCTGCTAGGGGACAGTATGTAAAAAGGAAATCTACATGCACTGACAGGAAAGATGATGATATCACTCAAGGGGGTAAAAAGCAAGTGACAGAATACAGAGATTTCTTAACCCATTTGTTTAAAAAAAAAAAAAGATCTAAGAGACAATGGTAAAATGTGAGAAAATGAGAGAAAAGAAAAAAAGAAAGGAGAATATACATTTGTACACATACGTTGAAAAAGATATTTTTTAAAAGGGTCCTAAAGGATATACACCAACTCATTAGGAGTGGATACTCTAGGGAAGAAAGTGGGATTAGGACCTGGGAGCTGAAGGGGACTGTTACTCAATATTCTTCCATAGTATGAACTAACAAAGAACTTACTATTTGTGTTCAGTCTTTTGTTTTTTTAAAAAAGCCAAATTTAGGGGCCAGCCTGGTAGTGTAGTAGATAGGTTCATGCACTCTGCTTCGGCGGCACAGGGTTCACAGGTGTGGACCCCAGGCATGGACCTACACATTGCTCATCAAGCCACACTGTGGCAGCATCCTACATACAAAACAGAGGAAGACTGGCACAGATACTAGCAGCAACAATCTTCCTCAAGCAAAAGGAGGAAGATTGGCTAACTGATGTTAGTTCAGGGCCAATCTTCCTCACCAAAAAGAAAAAAAAAAAAGCAAAAGACATAAACCAGCGAAAAGAAAACACTAAAAACCAACCAAAGAGAATAAAAGAGCAATAGTAAGAAAATTACATATTAAGAACAACTACTTACACCTATAAAGATTCAAAGCAACTGACACAATAACCTTTATTGTTTACATAATGATAGGCTCTGGACAAAGTGAGGACAATGGAGACAATGACAACAACACATTTAAACTCCTATCACAAATTGATCTGTTACAAATTTCCAGTGGTACAACATATTAAAAAGTAAAATATATAAAGAAAAAAAACCAAGAAATATAAATATTCAGATTTTCGCAGCACAATGCAATGTCCTTTTAATAAAAAGTTTGTTGTAATTGTGTATTTAATTCTGACAGTAATTCAAAACACAAAAATCACACATTTTCCTACCCTTCCCCAAAATCTGGATCTGGGGATTAGAGTATTAGAGAAGTACGCAAAAATAAAAACAACTTTAGTGCTCAGAAACAAAGCATTTTCCTTATTTTAATGCATCAAGGTGCAAAAATTTCAATTCCAAAAAGCCAATCATTGCTATATGCGGATAAATAAAACAGATTTGACAACACTTTTATACTCTAACCCAACTAACATTATACTAAAAATATGTGTGTGTGTGTGTGTGTGCGTGTGTGTGTGTGTGTGTATGTGTGTGTGTGTGTGTATATATATATATATATATATGCAATACCTATTTTAGAAAAAAAGGTGCCTTGGTGAAAATGATTCTGAAAATAGTCACTTGATGCACATCATGTACAAAACCTTCTATATAAAAAATTAAACTATTTTCAATGAAATTGCATGTTCACATCCCACCTGAAAACTACTTGAAAGATAAACAGGTCTACCTAAAGGTTTCTGTCTGAAATCGTGGCTAAGGCAGTTCTCTCCCCAAGGGCTGTGTCACCCACTTCACATCACTAATACTAATGGAGACAAAGAGCACACAGATGTCACCTGACATGCCTATGTATTGTTACCTGGAGCTCTGTTCACCGTTAAAATGGGATCGTTTACAGTTGCTACAAAGAATACTTTTTACTTAAAATATATTGTTTCTCTATTCCAAATTAAGCACTTACTTAAGACATTAAGAGGCTGATAAGCCACTCCATTTGGTGTCAGTATCAATAGCCCTATAAGAAAGAACTCTGTATTGGAATAGCTAGAAAAGTTTCCACTAAAGTAATAGTGCATCCTTCACCTGCATAGAATCAGTTTGGCTTAATAGCTCTTTGCCCCCAGAACGTCAGTCTGGAGTCAAATATGCTCCTGAAGGTTCACCTTAGATATGAAAAACATCTCATATAGGCAATATGAGGATATATAGGATGGTTAAAATTTTTAAAATCTGTTCAACGAGTCTTACAGCATTCCTCATTTGGAGTAGCTGCTAAACGTTAACGTGGAAACAAAAATGGAAAAGACTAGGGGCAATGAAGTTGAGTCGGTCAAATATTTATGCCAGTAACCGTTTCACTAGGTCTTGAAGCAAATAACTGAAATGATCTGGTACCTCTAGCTCATCATTCTACAAGCACTGAGGATTTGAAGCTTAAAGGGTGAAAACTGGAATACCCTTAGAAAAGGGAAACAGTCTGAGGCAAAAGTTGTAGGTCTGTAAATATATATTTTATATGCACACACAATTGTGTGTATTATTTTGTATATATTTACATATATATTCACAAGATGCCCTGCAGTGTAGTTCAAAAGGCCTTTATCAAGGAACAAACTAATTCTAGTATAGGCCCTAGAGTTCATACCATCTGCATAAGAACAAATGTGCATATATTCACATAATGTAAACCTTATCAACAAAAACATTGCTATTAATACTAAGTTAAATAGTAGGTTTTACCAATCAGTGATGTAATCAGAACATTTCTTACAGTGAAAATCAAAATAACAAAAAATACACAACTAGGTTTCAAATTCACAAGAAAAAAGATGTTTAGCATGGCAAACAAGGAAGAAAGTCCAAATTCCAGAGTAGGGAAAATATCAAAACTGTATAAATCTCCTGGGATGCAATTTAATTACTGCATCAACGTTAGAAAAATAGACTCATAGAACGAACGATGCTGCTATGGATTCTCTCAACACATCAACTCATATGTTTATCTTTTTCCTCTTTTGTTTCCAGCTGGAGGTTTCTTCAACTGAAGGAGTTGTCCTCCTGTTCCAAAACCTGCAGACGCAGGATTGGACACCCCAAATGTCAAACCAGCTGATGCCGTGATGCCAGGATTGCTGAAGTTAAACCCAGATGTACTTGAGCTGCCAAAGCCTTATGTTTAGGGAAGAAAATATTCATATCAGAAGTTAAGTCACAAAAACAAAAATAAAAAGTGGGAATGAAATGTAAATTTCTAGCTGAAAGAACATATAATCTATAAAAATAGCAAATATCTTAGGGCCCTAAATTTCTAACACGGAATTTTACAGGGAAATAATTTAGCTAACAACTCAGTGGCAACTTTAAAGACAGAAGTCTAGTGATCCAGGCCAAAACAGACAGCTTAGCGCAAATCACTGAAATCTACAGAAAATGGCAAGTCGCCAGGCCCTTTTCTGTGCAGCACACGAGCGAGATGCCTTCCTCCTCAGCCCTCCAGAAACATTTATCAACATGCAGAAGAAAGACTCTCACAACCCTTGCACTCACCTGCAATTCTAAGTCCTCCAAGAAAGCCCCAACTCTCAATTTTCAGGACCATGAACACACCGAAGAGTAGTACCTATTGTTTTGACTTTATAAGAGCACTTGCATAATTAAGATCAAGTACTATTACTGCTTAGTTAACTAATACTAGCATATTTAGATTATAATCTTGACACCACTAAATTCTACTGTTATCTACTCTGTTGGAAGTGCTGATTTTAAATACTACTTAATATTAAACGGAATTTCCTTCAAGTTCTCTCAATTTAAACACAATTTAATCTGTATTATGTCATTATGTTAGACATGATATTTACCCCTAAGCATTGCACGTTAAAACAAGCCATTATTTACAAACATAGAGAAAATGCAAAAGTAGATAGAATTCAGACTTTTCTACTAGAAGAGTCAAAAGATTATACACATTTTAAAAATGAACAAAGAACCCAATTAATCACCATTTCTAGGACTGGTATTCTTAAAGCCAGAAGGACTTATAACTGAAGAACATCTCTTTGGAAGAGAAATCCTTCTTCTGAATGAAGAATGATAAAAACTGGGTTAAAACTTTCACAACGATGGGTTCATTTTTGTAATAATGAAAAAAATTCTTTAACCATGAAACTAGTCTTTGGGTCCAAAAGAATCTGTACATAGTAAGAGAAGATGTAACTACTTATTGTATGAGACTAGTAAGTGTTGTTTGAAGTATTTTTACACACTTGACCTTTAGCTTACAGAGAGATAAAGCTGTGTGCTGAGTTAGGCTTGCATGCTTCATCCCGGGGGGGAGAAACTGAATCAGGGATCTTTTTCAGATAGTGGAAATAACAATACTTATATTTTTAAATTAAATAATTTGCACCTTTAAATTTGCCTGAAATTCAGGCCGAAACACACAAACCTGCACTAAGACTTCCTGAGGGTTTATTTGTTGTTCCAAATCCAAATGTGGAGGCCCCTGTGGTGCTGCATCCAAAACCAGAGCTAGTTCCAAATCCTAGTGGAGGGTAATAGAGAAATACACAACGGTACGTAAAACACAGGTTACAGGACACTGACAAGTCAAACCTAGCATCATCAAAGGTCTAACAATAGTGTTGAAAAACATGGACTTATTAAGGAAATCTGCTGTTTACTCGTTGGCATAAGACTTTAGGAAAAAATAGATTAATTCTGAAATAAAACATTTATATCTAGTTAGAGTAAATTTATGACCCATCAGTAATTCTTAAAGAACAGGGCCATAAAAAACAAGATCATATTAGTATTTTCTCTCCCAAATGGACTGGAAATTTTAGTGACCAAGTATGATTTTAGTCAAACAGACATAAATATATCTACTCAGGGATACTTCATTTTGCCAAAAAAAAAAAAAAAAAGAAAGGCTGACTAAATTCATAAATAAGCATGACATGCACAACAATTGAAACATGAAGTACCACAAGGTAATTTTACTATGCTTTTTACCAAAACATTTTCACTTAAGAACCTTTACCATTGAAAAACTGTGTAACTAAATAATAGTCAATCATTTAAAATCTACTCAGTAACAGTAGGCTCCTGCCATAGTACCAGCCAATGCAACAATGAGAAATTGGGAGTGGGAGCATCATGTTTTTTCTCTTAATAACACTATAGTCACAATTTAAATAAAGAAATATTTTTCATGAAATCAAGTTCAAGAGGAGATTCTGCTAAGTACTTGAAGACTTGTTTCCACTCTCCTAAAAGTCAAGTGCTCTAAAAATAAAATTCAAATTCTTCTTAGGCTACTCTGCAACACCTTATCAAATATTAAGTTTAATAGTATTATTGCCTGTAACTCTAAGAAATATGATGACAAATTGGATTATACCTCATAGGAATTATGCTGTCTGCCGTAATTCTACTAATTCCTAATAGAGTCTACTATATTAACTAACCACGATAGCTTATAGGTTTCCCCCTCTTACGATGATATATATTAGTGGAAATAAGGAAACCTTATTCATTACATGACAACGCACTTGTCAAAATAGAATCAACTTTCAACTATCCATACCAGAGAAGTGTGAATGCATCTCTATTTAGCATGATGTTTTTGCAGAAGACTTACCTTAAGAGTTAACTTATGAAACTATTAAAATAAACTTAATTGCTTATGTACACAAGTATGCATAAAGGCAAATACACCAAAAGTGCTTAAGAATGGACAGAAATCGAGCTGTTCAATTTAGAATAAAACTATTTCCCCATTTCAAGTGTTCGTTTTCAGAAGATAATGATTAGGAGAATGTACGTCCAGAAGTAGTTTGGACTCCAAATTGATGACCATTAATTTTTTTCAAGTTAATTAAATTTATTAAAACTCAGTAATTTTCAAGTTATTTTAGCATATGCTTTGAAAATATGAACATCCCTACCACTTAATTTTAATACCCTTTAATATTTACTATTCACAGAAAGTGACATTATTTTTTAAGTTCTAAATCTAATAGAAAGCACTGACTATGTTTGGAGAATCGTTTTTTGCCAAATGGAACCTTAACTTCCAAAATAGTAGTTCCTCTTAGAGAATTTTCACAGGCTGGTATCAATTCCAGTGTATAATAGTCCAATGCAATATTAGAAAAGTTAAAGTGTACCTCCAAGGTTTGAAGAACCTAAGCCACTTGATTGCAAGCCAGTGCCAATACCTGAGCCGAATGGCGTTCCAAAACTAACTCCCAGAGATGGCTGTGGCCCTGGTATAAAAAAAAAATGGGGGGGGAAAAACAAATTTTCCTTACTCTTTCAAGATTAAAGTTTCTTTATGAAATTATTTTTCAAATGAACAGTGATTATTTTTAACAAATTCTATTTGCTAAAATTAGTTTTCAGGATGTCTCCCCAGCCTAATTTATGTCTCAACTGATTTACCTATCAAAAAAACCCTTTTTAAAATTAAGTTGTTCACACTAGACAATTAAGAGGCTTACCACATTGACAGATGAATGTTAGTTTAACCTACTAAATAATTTGAAATCTTTAATGTATTGTAAATTATAGTTCCTTTAGTTTTACTTCTAGAATGATTTTAGATTTCCCCACCTGTTTTCTGATAAAATTAGTTGGTCTAATCAGTAAAGGGTTTCACTTTTTTTCTTTTTAAAACAAGCTCCTTACGTTAGAGTCAAGTCTCAACTGATCAAGAGATTGACGCTAACATGGCAAAACTATCATGTTACTTCATAAGATTAAGTACCCAAAAAACTAGGCATGATTTCTTACATGAAATATAAATGATATATACAGTAAGTGGATAAAAAACAAGACAATGTTTTATTTTATTAAATTTATTGTTCCATTTTAAAGCAAATCAATTACACAGTAACATGACAATTCCAACTTGTTCACAAAAAGTGATAGAGTTCTACTGTTAAGCTCTGCTACATTACACCACTCATCACCTGATTAAATAAGATAGATAATGAACATTTACAAAGGCACCGCTGTGTACCTTGACAGATTCAATACATTCAAGATTTCAATTCAGAAGTTTCTTTCCAACATTTTGGAAAACGCACTCAGATGCAGAATGATTAATCATCCTTTTCCCATTTGTTAACTTTAAAGATTTTGGCTGAGTTTGTTTGGCAAGAATAGCATCAAACTCACTAGCCTCTCTTTTTACCTACTTTTTTTTTTAAACTAAGCAGAATACAAAAATCTAAAAATCTTTCATTTGATAAATAATTTATGAAAATTATTCAATAAATTTCACAGTACAATCTTCAGTCTTGTCTTTTTCAAGCACAGTGATCAGTGCATCTCAAAGTTGAGGGAACTGCCAAAGTAATATACAGATTGAAATTTACACTCTTCAGAGAAATCAAAGCCTTCAAGTTGTTCAATGAAGAATGAGGTTTGTATATTCAAAAGGTAGTGTAAAATTATAAAGCATTAAAAAAAAACAACTGAAGAACTACATTTTGCTACACTGGGACAGAAACTGGACTTTTCAAACAAACTCCTATCCAGAAAATAAAGAACAAGGACTAATAGCAGCCAGAGTTCTTATACTACTATTAAAAAATAAATTAAAAAAGGATTTAAATTTTTACATCCAGTTTGACATCAATTTGAGAATAAAACACCTGCCTAGCAGCTCTTTTGTAAAATGTTACTATAGGAAAAAGAAACTAAGCATATTACTTCCTTATTTCTAGCAAAAATAATATGTAGAAAACACACGTCCAGTTTCTTTAACATTGAGAGACTTAAGTGTCACATGTTAACAGGAGGCACTGCTGGTGGAAGACCCTAAAGAAGACGCACCACAGCCCTCAGCCCTAAGCGTCATAAGAGTTACTCAAATCACAGGCTTTTTGTTGTGTGTGGGTCTGTTTGAGAGCAACTCTAATCATCAATATTCAGGATATAGATAAGAACTCTTAACGATGACAAGACTTTCCATTGCACAACAGGTACATGGTATTTTGAGTTTTCTACCTTCACACAAATTCTGAAGGCAACATCATTTATAAAACTAGTAGGCAAATGTATAACATTTTTTAGTAGTAAAAACTCATGATAAATATCTCCCATGCCAAAGTATTAGCATATATTACACTCTGGCCACTATATAAATTAGTTTCACTATTAGAAAGCAGAATCTAAATCCTTCAGGCAAAAGTTACGCGAACAATTCAAGAAGTCTGTTTCAAAATCTGAATAGTCATTCAATAAGAGGCTCTTAGTTCCATAAATAAAACCAAGTTAATAGTAATATAACCCAATGACTGCCCAAAGTGAAATCTTCATGTAGAGTAACATTTTACAAAAGTTACTGTATAATATATTCACACACAACAAAATCAAGTTTAGCACTGTAATTCATTATTTTCCAGAATAAATTCTACTTTCTTCAAAGCAAAACTGCATTCACAGGAAAAGGACTAAAGTGCTAAAAGTCTTTATAACTTTCAATGATCACTCAAAATACCTAACATAATTAGTATGGTTGTTCCTAAGTCATATTTTAAAAATTATAGTTTTTCTTAAAAAACAAAAAACGCCTTTTCCCCAATTTGAAAAATTTTACTCTTACTGATTTAATGGGGAATGTCCCTTTGGTTATTAAATACAACAAAAATCACAAAGCCACAAGACTAAAATTAAATACTTAAAGTTTTCTATTTAACACTACACTTTAAATGTCCAAACCTACACTAAAAGCTACAAAGTAGAAATTCCTAACAAAATGTCTCAGCTCTCCTTAAAAACAGCAGCTAAATCACATGAGTCTTATTATGTAAACATTAAGAACTTTTTAAAGTGTCAAAACACAACAGCACAACTTAATCCCAGTACCTTAGCTTAAAACAACCTACCCTAAGTTAAAGTAAACTGAAAAGCCTAATGTAAATGTCTTAAGCTTTTTAGAGGCTTCAGAAGCACTGGTGGACAAGTATACTCAAGATCTACCAATGTGTAATTCATCCATGTGTTGATGCTTATTTCATACATAAACAGCCTGCTGGTTTTTCATCAATTTGCTTCAGCCTTCAGAAGCAATAACCATAAGTCACAAAGGCGTAAGCTCTATTACATACTTTTTCATTAAAAAACATTGAAGAAGGAACCAAGCAGTCACTTAAGTCCATACCTCCACCTCCAAGAAAGACTACATAGAAACTACCTTCAGAAGGTAGCAGCCTAAGAAGCTATCTGTTATACACTAATGAAGTCAAGAATCCATATGCAAATAAAAGTAAAACACCTCTGACAACTCAAATCTTGCACAGATCAACAGTGATGCATTAAAAACAGCCCACAAGCTTTATCTAGCTTCATCTACATGGTCTTTAAAATTGGTTACTAGCGCTTAAAAAAAGATTTCATCAAAGTCACAGGACATAAGAAATAAGTCACTGGGTACAAAGCACAATGCAATAAATAGGGACACTTCTGAATGGGCTGTAACTCATAAAATCAGTACGTTTCTAACAGAGCTAAAAAATTCTGCTATAGTGGTGACATGACCAAAATAACTAACATTCTGACTGGGAGAGGCATAATGGAATGGACTATGGAGCCTGGGAGACCTTTAGAGACATAAAAGGAAAAAGAGAAGGCATAATGCAAAACTATTAGTACTACTGTTTAGCTTCTCAGTTCTAAAAATCCATATAACTCAAAACGAAAACACTCTAAGACTGTTTAGGTCGATAAACTACAATTCCTGCCACCTGATTAGAAAGCCCTTATGCGAATAGAGAAAACAACTTCAGGGAACAGAGAAAATAGTTTCCCCAAAGTCTGGCAAAAGTACAGACAAAACTAAAGCATATGAGCAAAAGGCTCCTCAAGATGATTAGTCTAAATTCATCTAATATGCTCCACCACCACAGAGAGCAAAGACCATATCCATACTGTTTATCTTTCTACCCCTGGAGCCAAGCACACGGCAGGCACTCGTATTTATAGAATGAACACATGTTTTCATATGTCCACAAGTCCAAAACGTATGAATGAAAAACCTACAAACCTCTCAAGACTGTCTACATGAGAGTTAAAAAACAAAACAAATGCCCTGACAGCTGGTTTTCCTTCAATTTTAGTTTATACCACAGAATAAAGTTCACTTACAGCATAACATTTTAGATAATGGATCTTTCTCCAGTTTTATTTACTAGAATGGAAATCCCCTGTATAAAGACGACTTAAGCAAACCCATGCTTTATCTGATCTACTTTAGGATTAACATTGGCTCTAAAGAGTAAATTGGTACTCTGGTTGGTTTGATTAGCTGGTTAAATAATCATGAGAACTGATGATCATAATTATGAGATTGACAGGAATCAATTCCATAATCGCTTTATAGTAATCAATCCCATAATGAATGACTTTTTTTCCCTCCATAACTTGAGAATGCAATTCTACACTCCAGCCAGCTAGAGACTACTATATAGTGCTTATGTGAGCCACTATTCACATGGATCCAGCCATGGAATGTGGAGGATTTGGCATAAACCCATCATCAGCCATTTACTGATGGAAAGTCAATTCCGTCATCTCCAAATGTGAAGAACAATGGCTTAAACTGCCAATAGTGAAAACCAGAGAATGGTTCCCTAATAGAGGCAGCCTGAATGCAATCTAGATACGTTTTTTACTTTTTTTTGTACTATAATTTATTATTGGACTATAAAGAAATCTCAGAAAGACACAAGCTGTAGAATAACTAATAAGCATTACTCAAAAATCTATGAATGAGTAAAGAAAGAAATCAACATTCATTAAGACCATATTTTTCTGTTAAACTTCAATCCTGACAAAAAAGGGACTGCAGGATAAAAAGACAAATAATCTCCAAAAGACATAGGACCAAACTAAATATTGCAGAACTAGACCACAAAAATGTTTCTCTCATTAGAAGCAAAATTAAATCAAGGGACTAGTCTGCTTTCCAGTATCTCACCAATTCTTTCTATCACCTGCTCAACTTCCTAGTTCATACTTCTTCATCTGCAATCCAGAGCATCTCAAAACATCTTTTTCCTGCTCTTGCTACTGTTCTGTTCATTTTGAAAAGGTACAAATAATTTTAGAATATACCTTCTTCCAAATTTGGTTAAGAGGGCCTGTACTCTGTTTCCAGTCATTATACACACAAACTGATCTTCAACACACCTTCAGTGAATAAAAACGTACTTCATCCTGAATGTGGGTGCTCTGTAATCACCATGTATGAGGAAACGAGAATGCACCATCTATCAGTGTCATATATGAAAAATGCAGTGTATGGCTGGATTACCTCAGACTTTAAAACAATAAATGATACAATCACGATTTTAGAATCTGTTATTTTTAAGTGTAATTCAGTAGTGAAACACTGTGTTCTAAAGGGCATTTATAGCAATACAGCAAGTAACATTAAGTAAATTCACAATATTCAATATCTATTGACGTATAATTATTGCTAAGACTACCCTGCGTTTTTTATCAGGTATATGTTTATAATTGTGTCCATCACAATTTTTAGATTGTATTGGAACAGCTACTCATAGAAATTTCTTCAGTGCTAACACAAAAGGAAGACTTATAAAAATGCACATAAATGTTCTGCATTTTAACAGTAAGAAGCTATAACTTGAATGCATTCAGACCTGTAGCAGGCTGTTGCTGCTGTGTAAGTGTTGCAGCCATGGCAACGGCTGCTGCATTTGGCATGTTGCTGAAAGGGGTGGGTCCAGTAGTAACTCTGGGTGCATTCTGCCACTTCTTGGCTTCTGCTCGCCTGGCTTCAAACACATCTACAGCATCTCCCAAGAACATTTTCCTGTAGCCAAGGTATTGTTCTTTAAGCACCTAAACGAAATTAAAAAAAGGAAAAGATTAATCAAGTTCTGGACTGACTCTGGTAGTATGTGAATGGATATAACTATGAAATAAGTTAGCAAAGACACTGCCAATATTATACATTCCATCTAAACTGCAAATGAGAATGTTGGTAATGCATGGTGTGGGGAGTAACAAGTTTGTGAGTTCTAGTACTCTTTCGAATATTTGAATATTTTTTCTCTATTCTTGTCATGTCTTTACAATAAACTGCCTAAAATATTCTGGCTTCGTGAGGCCCTCTTTAAAATGAGTTAGAGCTAAGTTTTGTTGCTTTTAGGAAGATTATCCCTGAGCTAACAGCTGCCACCAATCCTCCTCTTTTTGCCAAGGAAGACTGGCCCTGAGCTAACATCCGTGCCCACCTTCCTCTACTTTATATGCAGGATGCCTGCCAAAGCATGGCTTGACAAGTGGTGTGTAGGTCCACATCCAGGATCTGAACTGGTGAACCCCGGGCTGCCTAAATGGAGGATGTGAACTTAACCGCTGCACCACCAGGCTGGCCCCGAGTTAGCTAGGTTTTGAGACAAGCAGAGTAATATCTAAAATTTCATTTTAATATTCCAGTTTTTCATCAAATTTTCCCCTCCAATGTCCAACCTTTTGATAACTTTTAGATTCAAAAAGCTTGAAAACAAAGTACTAAATACGTATTTGTTAAATATCTTTCTTAAAAAGCCTAGGTAACTTATGTTGAGCTTGTATAACCAAACAGGATGGGAGTGGGAGGCAGAGGAGTGAGTTTATAATTTCAGAGTAAGAAAGAAAAAATCAAGTTCATAAAGTGGGCTGGTTTATCCAATGCAACATCTGCTTTGATTAAGGCCATTAATATGGACCATTCTGTTTCACATTAGAATTATTAAATACTTTCATTAAAGATTTAACCTAATTTAGATCAGTTTTATACCACTTTTTGAAGAGAGGTAGAATTTGCATATTTCCGACCCACTCTTAGCAGAAATTAATAAATATTAAGCTTTTTGGTTTTAACAGAGAACTCAGAAATCTTACTGTTGTTTATAGTATTTAAAAGCTATCATCCCCTTTATGTGGATGTCAGTATTTCATGTTATAGTTCCAAACTCCTCTGCCTCTATAATGTACTCAAGTAGGCCTGCCAGGAACTGAAAATTGGGAAAACTGCAGTCAGAATTAGGGTGTGCGACGTTGGGAAACTGCAGTCAGAATTAGGGTGTGCGACGTTGGGAAACTGCAGTCAGAATTAGGGTGTGCGACGTTGGGAAACTGCAGTCAGAATCAGGGTGTGCGACGTTGGGAAACTGCAGTCAGAATCAGGGTGTGCGACGCTGGAAAACTGCAGTCAGAATTAGGGTGTGCGACATTGGGAAACTGCAGTCAGAATTAGGGTGTGCGACGTTGGGAAACTGCAGTCAGAATTACGGTGTGCGACGTTGGGAAACTGCAGTCAGAATTAGGGTGTGCGACGCTGGGAAACTGCAGTCAGAATCAGGGTGTGCGACGCTGGAAAACTGCAGTCAGAATTAGGGTGTGCGACGCTGGGAAACTGCAGTCAGAATCAGGGTGTGCGACGCTGGGAAACTGCAGTCAGAATTAGGGTGTGCGACGTTGGGAAACTGCAGTCAGAATTAGGGTGTGCGACGTTGGGAAACTGCAGTCAGAATTAGGGTGTGCGACGTTGGGAAACTGCAGTCAGAATTAGGGTGTGCGACGTTGGGAAACTGCAGTCAGAATTAGGGTGTGCGACGCTGGGAAACTGCAGTCAGAATTAGGGTGTGCGACGCTGGGAAACTGCAGTCAGAATCAGGGTGTGTGACGTTGGGAAACTGCAGTCAGAATCGGTGTGTGACGTTGGGAAACTGCAGTCAGAATTAGGGTGTGCGACGCTGGAAAACTGCAGTCAGAATCAGGGTGTGTGACGTTGGGAAACTGCAGTCAGAATCAGGGTGTGTGACGCTGGGAAACTGCAGTCAGAATTAGGGTGTGTGACGTTGGGAAACTGCAGTCAGAATTAGGGTGTGCGACGTTGGGAAACTGCAGTCAGAATCAGGGTGTGTGACGTTGGGAAACTGCAGTCAGAATCAGGGTGTGTGACGCTGGGAAACTGCAGTCAGAATCAGGGTGTGTGACGCTGGGAAACTGCAGTCAGAATTAGGGTGTGTGACGCTGGGAAACTGCAGTCAGAATCAGGGTGTGTGACGCTGGGAAACTGCAGTCAGAATCAGGGTGTGTGACGCTGGGAAACTGCAGTCAGAATTAGGGTGTGCAACGCTGGAAAAACAAATACTACTAGAACTGATCTCCCCCAAACCCATCCTCCTTTTTCTGTGCGGTTACATAAACATACCCATACAATGTTTGGTATCAATAGCCCATACATTTTATTTCTACTTCAGATACTAGGAAATAATGACCCGTCTTAAAGACTCTCAAAAGACAATTAGTTTAAGAAAAAACAAAAAACTGACATCAGGGGCTGGCCCCGTGGCTGAGCGGTTAAGTTCGCGCGCTCCGCTGCAGGCGGCCCAGTGTTTCGTTGGTTCGAATCCTGGGCGCGGACATGGCACTGCTCATCAGACCACGCTGAGGCAGCGTCCCACATGCCACAACTAGAAGGACCCACAACTAAGAATATGAAACTATGTACCTGGGGGCTTTTGGGAGAAAAAGGAAAAAAATAAATAAAATCTTAAAAAAAAAGAAAAACTGACATCAGCCATGATTTATATAATTAATTGATGAAACATCCAATTTTGTTAAGGACATTACCTGGCTGGATCAGGTAGCTTAAGACTGTTTCAATACATTAACTCATGAAAAACAATATAAAAGGAACAAAAAAATGCCTCTTACGAGATTTCTATGAGAAGTCAACAAGTCTACAAATTACAGTGTGCTCACTAAATGCAGCTGAAAATAAATGGCAATGTGGCAAATCTGATCATGGAATATCATTTGGTTCTTGGGAATGTGTATAAAAAAAAGAGTAGGTCAAAACTTCATGTAAAGTTCATACAACACAATCTGAGGCTGTTTTGTGCAAATCTCTGTCATTGTTTTATGGTCACTGTTTTATTGAAAAGTGTAGTTTTTAAACCAGAGAGGAGAAACTGCCATTGAAAAAGCACGTATACTTACAAATGACATATCTGGAATTTGCTTTAAAATACCCCAGGGAAGAAAAGCATCTCTGTGCGGAGAACTGATAAAACAAGATCAGCAGCATCTTGATAGTGACTGAAGGTGGGTGGTAGTACCTGGGCATTCATTAGGATATATAGCATGTATTTGAAAATTTCCATAATAAAAAATAGCCATCCGCACAAGAGACTTCAAAGTACCAAGAGAGAATCATCTTTAGCACTTTAAAAACTAAAGTAATATTTACTATAATACATAGAAATCTCACGAAAATCTGATAAAAACTCCTCCTTTAAAACGAAATTATTTTAAAGATTTAGTTTAGAATTTTAAATCTATTAAAGAAAAAGGTCTGAAGTGTGCTATTATTTCAGAAATGCTATAATTTAAAGGGTTACCTTTTTAAAAAATTCTATTACCATGCTTCAGATTAAAATAAAAATAAAGGGCTGGCCCAGTGGCGCAGCGGTTAAGTTCGCACATTCTGCTTCTCAGCGGCCCAGGGTTCGCCAGTTCAGTTCCCGGGTGCAGACATGGCACCACTTGGCAAACCATGCTGTGGCAGGCATCCCACGTATAAAGTAGAGGAAGATGGGCACGATGTTAGCTCAGGGCCAGGCTTCCTCAGCAAAAAAGAGGAGGACTGGCAGTAGTTAGCTCAGGCCTAATCTTCCTCAAAAAAATAAAATAAAATAAAAATAAAAATAGTGGTAATCTCGATTAAACTCTATTCTACACAGTTAATAATTTATTTAGACTCAGGTTCAGATGCTTTGAATTTTAAAGGTTTTTTCTGGCTGTATATAACTCCAAGAAAGATTTTAATTACATTTGCTTAATTAGCTGGAAAAAGTGTACTTACATTTAACATTTCACTTAAAGTTTAAAAATTAACATTGTTACATGAGGTTCAAAATACTCAGTGACAGATTACTTTATTTATATTACTTAATAAACACAAACAGTTTCCTGCATTTATGGACAAAGCAAGTTTTTTTATGCAGTGGCTAATAAACATTTAAAACATATATAAAATTAAAGCAGTGCAAAATGATTTTGCTACTAGGAATGTTTATTTTCTGTAGCAGTGTTTTTTGTGGTAGAGATGGAAATAACCTAAATGTCCAACAAAAGAGGATGGGTTAAACAAACTATGCACATACATATAATGAAATCCTAGGTAACCACTAAAAATGATGTCAAAGAAACATGTGTTATGAACACAGAAAGTGGTTCACAATATACTGTTGAAAAAAGTTACAATAACAGATTGCATATGACACTTAGATCTTTTTAAAAAGAACAGATATTATCCATGGATTTGTCTGCGCATGATTATGGACTATTTTAGTTTTAGTCTTTTTCACTTACATGTAATTTTAGCTATTTGTGTAATAAGCATGGATACTTCTGTCCTGCAAACGAACAAACAGTTTGCTTGGGTCTAGAAATCCAGATAGTTGAACTGGCACTGAAAACTTACCTTTACATTTTCATGAATAGACTGAAGTTGTGCAGCTAAAGCTACAAATGTTTGATAAATTTTCTGCATAGCCATTGACAAATCTATAAAAGAAAATTATATTATCACACAAATACATGTATAACACAATCAATGTTATTTTTCTATTACTTGAGTACAATTTTACATTGGGCCTCTTAATGTGTAGGAGGAAAAAACTCCATCAATATTTCTGCGGCTAAGAGAAGAGAGCAGAATGAGCAGGCTGAGAGAAGGATGTCTCCATCAGCAACATGCAGAAGGGGAAGAGGCCCTAAGACTTCTGCCTTTATTAGTATAGTAACAATTCATAATAAAGCATTTTATATTTACGAGGAATGAAGATCTAATCAAGGATTTTTAAGGAAATTTTCTTATGGCAACTTAAGACAACTACTAGTGGTTATCTAGAATATCTACTACATAACAAAGCCTAACCTCTCTCTTATCAAGAAAATTGTGCTATCAAAAGAAAATCACCACAGAAAACATGTTACCTTGAGGGGTTATATGTGAATTATTTGCTTGAGTGGCAAGATGGTTTTCTAGTTCTTCAATCTGCTGTCTGTACTGCTGAAGCTGTACCTCAAACTGCTGAACCAAGATTCTAAAGTAGCTGTATAAAACATTTACAAAGTCAGATCAAAGTTTTAAAAACATTATTTTCTTTATATACAAAACACCAGGGGCCGGCCCCATGGCCGAGTGGTTGGGTTCGCACGCTCTGCTTCGGCGGCCCGGGGTTTCGCTGATTCGGATCCTGGGCGTGGACCTAGCACCACTCATCAAGCCACGCTGAGGCGCTGTCCCACATGCCACAACTAGAAGGACCCACAACTAAAATACGTAACTGTGTACTGCGGGGCTTTGGGTAGAAGAAGGAAAAAACAAATAGAGGAAGATGGGCACGGATGTTAGCTCAAAGCCAGTCTTCCTCAGCAAAGAGGATTGGCAGTAGATGTTAGCTCAGAGCTAATCTTCCTCAAAAAAAATTTTAAAAACATAAATAAATCTTCATTAAAAAAACAGAATACCAAATAAATAAACATAGGCCCCCTTTTAAGCAGGGCCTTTGAATTAGTCTGATGATATAAGGTATCCTTAAGAGGCAGGGATTATTATTGAAACAAAAACCCAAACTTGTAAGTTATCAAGGTATCAAAAATAGTTGCATATCCTTACTCCAAACATGAAAAATCCCAATCAAGGGGTAATCTACAAAATAACTTAATACTCTTCAAAACTATCAAGATCATCAAAGACAAGGAAAGACTGAATAATTGTTACAGATTATAAGAGATTAAGGAGAAATAATAACTAAATGCAATGTGAACATGATCCCATAGTAGAAAAAATACATTGGCGGAAAATAAGATCCAGGAACAGAAAAAGCACATTAGTGGAAAAGTCAGTAAAATTCAAATAAGTTGAGTAGTTTGGTTAATAATATTGTGCTAATGTTAATTTCCTGTGATAATTATACTATGGTTATGCAATATGTTAATGTTAAAGGAAGCAGGGCAAGAGATATAAGGAAAATCTTTGTCCTACTATTTTTGCAAGGTTTCTGTAAGTCTAAAGTTCAAAATAAAAAGTTAAAAACACAGTGCAATTGTAAATCAGATTTTACAATCAGGTACTTAAGAGTTCTTCTATTTATAATCTGAAACATTACTTATAATCTGAAAACACTACAGTGTACTATAGGAAGAACATGCAATTATTACTACTATTCTGATAAATTTAACCAGAGAATGCTGGAAAGATAAAAAGGAACTTGAATAGCATGCAAAGCAGTCAATGTTATTCTATTAGAAACGGGGAGCTGTGAAAGCTTTCTGCAGTGGAAAGTGATACAATTCAACCCATTTCAAAACTATCTTTGATGGCAGCATGAAGAACAAGACACAGGGATAAAATACTAGAGGAAGTCCAGCGAGGAAGCATATCTCATGCTACCTTGAATACGATAAGAGGAGTATCACTGTCATTGTTAATTTCCTGATTTTTGATCATTGTACTGTGGTTATGTAAGAGAATATTCTAATGTTTAAGAAATACACACTAAAGTACTTAAGCATAAAGGGCATCATGTCTGCAAATAACCTATTCAGGGGAAAAAAGTATATATACATACACAGAGAGCAAGGAATAAAACAAATTTAGTAAAAATGCTAACGTGGGGAATCTGGATGAAACGTATATGGGAATTCTTTGTTTTATTCTTGAAACTTTTCTGTAAATCTGAAATTATATCATAATAAAAAATTGAAAGGAAAAAAGTGAGGGAGCAGGAGTCAGACCTCTACCACTCACAAGCTCAGGACTGCACCTCTTCATGCCTCAGGCTCCGCATCTCTCAGACTGCACAGTAACAGCTGCAGAGGTTTTGTGGGAAATGAGATGAAGCATGTGAAGTGCTAAGCACACTGCTTGGCGTATGGGAAGAATTTGATAAGTATTAGCTATTATTATCTCTAGCAACTCAAAAGGACATTAAAAAAAGACAAGACATACATCACACGCGTGGAAACTAAACAGATACACAAGCTGACTAATGAGATTACAGGTGGATTTTTAAAATTTAATTTTACTTGTCTACATTTTGTAATTTTTCTTCCTGAAGATTTATTACCTATGTAAATAAAAGCTATGCAAATAAGTAAAAGGGTTGAACTATATTTAGTATGCCCTGTTTACAGAAAGGACTATCATAAAATTATTTTTAAATTAAAAGTCCTTATGGGTAAAAATGTAAGTTTCTACTACCTGTACAACTTAATAAAGAGGAACAGACCCTATATGTAACATGTAAATGAAGTGTAACTGCCTAACAGTAGTTAAAAGCGAAGACCTTAGCCTTCACTTACCCTTTAATAAAACAAGAATAATCAACTACCCTCTTAGGGTTATTACAGAATTATATTTAAAAATCCATGTAAAGTGCTTATTAACTCAGACTTGGTACGTAGTAAACTAAAAATTCTTACCCAGTGTATTGTTTTTACTGTTGTGCTTTCTTAAAGTGAAAAACATTTGTTTAAAAAAAATCCAGTAACTTACTCAGCAGGAGCTGTATTTTCATGGTGGAGTCCAGGTGGTGTTTTCTGGGTTCTTAAAGCTATTTCAGCATTCTTTAACTCCTAGTATATTAGAGGTTTAAAAAAAAAAGGCCAGTTAAAAGTTAGGCTAAAAATACCAAGATCCCTGGACTGGAACTTCAAACAATGCCATTTTTAGAGAGTCATGCCATGAGAACATATGGATAAAGCTGCTTTACAACAAGTTGCTAACACCTCTTTCCAGAGAAGACAAACTACACTTTTTTTTTGCTGAGTAAGATTAGCCCTGAGCTAACATCTGTTGCCAATCTCCCACCCCCACCACCAGCTCACCCCTAACTAAGGAAGATTAGCCCAGGGCTAACATCTGTGCCAATCTTCCTCCACTTTATGTGTGGGACACTGCCATAGCAGCAAGAAACTATACTTTTAACAAATTTTATGATAAATTTATAATGAGGTGCTGGTCTATTTTAAGAAACTATAGATTTCTGTAGGATTCATACAGTTAATTCATCCACAGTGGAAGACTATGCTGCTATTTAAACATCTTCAATATACAAATGTAGAGAAAACTATTTTAAAAAAGCAATGCAGGGGCCAACCCTGTGGCATACTGGTTGAGTTTGATGCACTCTGCTTTGGTGGCCTGGGTTCACAGGTTCGGATCCTGGTCGCAGACCTACACCACTTGTCAGCCATGCTATGGGGCAACCCACACACAAAATGGAGGAAGACTGGCACAGATGTTAGCTCAGGGCGAATCTTCCTTAAGTGAAAAGAAGACTGGCAGAAGATGTTAGCTCAGAGCAAATCTTCCTCAATGGAATAAAAAAAAAAAAAGAAAAACCAAGGTAGTAGTAATAATAATGTTGAGGCTCATGATGGCAGCAGCTAACACTCTGGGCACTTACTATGTACCAAGAACTATGCTAAAGGCTTTACTTACATTATCATGGTTAATCCTCAATAATAACCCTATAATGGAGCTCATGTCCCCCTTTTTACAGATGAAGACATGGAGTTACAGAGACATTAAGTCCTTTGCCCAAGCTGGAAGACCTGAGAAGCGAACTGAGGCAGCCCAGTTCTTTGAAAGCTTATAGATATAATCTTTCTTATATTGCCTTCTTCTGCTCCTCAGTGCAATTTCTATCTTCTAGGCAGAGGTCTTCCAAGACAGATATTCTGTTTTACCCCCTTATACTTCATACTCATGTCATTTCACTGCTTTTTCAACCCCTATTTAAGTTTTTCTTATTAAAAAAAAAGTATTATACCTTAGCTTTACATTCCCTGCAGCCACCTCTTGCCCTCATTTTACGCCATGCTGTTAAGTCTCTAACTGTTCTCTCCACTTCCTTTTCACTCTTCAATCTGGGCTTCCATCCAGTGGACTCTAGTATAAATGCCCTGGAGAGGTCTGGACTATTCAAACTCCGACCCTGCCTACTTCTCCAGGCATGGGCTCTTGCCAGGTCCAGATTCACACTCAGGGCTCCTGTAATACTAAACTATCAATCCTCAAACATGCCAATTTCATGCCTCTATGCCTTTGCTTGTCATCCTTCCTCCCTATCAGCCTGGGCAACACCTGTGTATGTTTCAAGACTCAATACAAAGGTGTCCTACTCCTGACAGATGATAAAAGTGTCCATTTGAGCCCCTGGTGTCTCTATCATACCTTGCACCTGGAACATATTACCTGATTTAACTCATTCTCCCTAGTGTATCATAAGTGTTTGGATCCCAAATGCCTGTTGAAGTGCTCTGCACATAACAGATCCTTAAAAATGTTCACTGAATGAACACATGGACTCAGCAATGTAACTTCAATGAAGCATGTGGCACCCACCCTACCCTAAAAGAATTTTAACCACCCTACTAAATTCTCAAGTTGTGTATCAAAAAATGAAGTATACAAAGGACTTTGCTTTCACAAGGTTCTGGTCTACACAATCACAACACTGCTCCTCAAGCTCAAAACTGCTTGTATTTCCCAGAAAAAAAGGCTTTCTTTGAAGAAAAGGTTTTGGGGTTAAATAAGATTGATAACTACTCCACTAAGGGAGTCAGAACATTTTTTTCCATTGATAATTCACTAGACTGTGAGTAGAGCACTAATTCCTGTATATTGCAAATAAGAATAATCTTACATCAAATTTCTTTGATATCTCCTATAAAATTTCCTAAATTCAACTCAGATTATTTTTCCCTTAAGGAAAGTTTCTTTGACTTATATCCTCTTCTTCATTTGCCACCTTTATACTCTATCCAATCTTTTATTGTTTCATTTACCCCACCAGACTTTTAGTACCTCTGGAGTTGTCTTTTTATCTCTGAAAGACTGTTAACAAGTCTAGTATGTAACAGGTATTCCACAAATACTTGTGACTGGAATCATCCAGTGTTAAAATTACAGTGGACCCCATTATAGCATTAATTACACTTTTTCTTGAGTTTGCCAGCTCTGTTAGTTTGCTAATGACCTTTTCCATACAATTTATATAATTTCATATATGAAATTTATAATTTCATGTAATGTTTAATCAAAGTCTAAACATTCTCCGTAGTCTAAAACCATAACTAACATTTTCTTCCTCCTAGAAAGTACATAACTGATGATATATAAAGAAAGACTAAGTGAGAAGGAAACAGGGAGGAACCTTTTATTGATATTTAACCAAAGAATTTGTAAGCAAACAGGAAATATGAAAGCAAAGTCTTTGACCAGTCTTTGAATTTCCTTTAAACATCATAGTTTAGAATAGCTATCTTAGTAACACATTTTTATTAAAAACATCACAAAGTATTCTCCAATAGTTGACTTAAAAATATAAGCAGGTACAAACTTCCAGTTATAAAATAAATAAATCCTGGGGATGTAATGTATAGTATGACTACAGTTAATAATATTGTATTGTATATTTGAAAGTTACTAAGAGAGTAGATCTTAAAAGTTCTCATCCCAAAGGGAAAAAAAATTTGTAACATTTATAGTGACAGTGGATGTTAATTAGACTTATTGCGGTGATTGTTTCACAATATACACAAATATTGAATCATTATGTTGTACACTGAAACTAATATAATGTTATATGTCAATTAGATTTCAATAAAACAGACACATAAGTACCTTTAAAACTTTTACTTAAAATATTCTCACTTCATTTACGCCGAGCACAGCACTCCGAGAAGCCAAAGTAAAAAGGCGTATCACATGAAGTTCACTGACTAATCGGGCAGAACTTCAGGGAAAGATTTCTGGACTGCCACGATGAGATCAAGTACACTTCATAATTGTGCAATACAAAACAGAGGTAAATCTTCTATCATCATTCTTCCCCACTGCTACAGAGAACTACTACATATATATTTTACATATTGTTTAATTCACCAGAGACAAAAAACAAGTAGACATGAGTGACAGATGAGCCTCATTAGTATGTTTATTAACTGACGTAAGACTAGCAAGCCATCAGTAGAACTCAGTATCTATAAAGCATGATAGAATTTTTATTTAATAATTCGCAGATCCAACAAACAATTTTTTCTGTCGAGCCGTTCCCTCTGGTATAATATAACAACTTAGCCAGCAGGCATTCTTATGGAACAAGCAGTTAGGAGCATAAGCTCTGGAGCTGGATTGACAGGGTCTGAATCCAAGCTCGTCCACTTGTTAACAAAGCTCTCTGCCTGTTTTCTTGTCTACAGAATGAGGATAATAACAGTACCTACCTCACAGGCTGTTGTGAAAACCAAACTGGGTTAATATATATAAATCATTTGGAATACTTCCTCACATGTAGTAAGCATTCAATAAAAACTAGTAACTATTGTTATTATAGCAATTTAAAAGTATATGACCTACATGGTTTTCTAATAGTAGATCTGTATTAAACTTGTAATTTAAAAAGACTTATTTCCATTTAAAAAAACAAACAAAAACCAATGATAAAATGACTGTAAGTTAGTTTACCTGAGCAGTTTCCATTTTCAGTTTGTCAATATTGAGAGTGTTTCTCTGTAGTCCACTGGCAGCCAATGACAGAAGCTGCTTCAGAGCTTTAAGATCTTCTTGTACTTTAAGCATTGCTTTTGAAGACATTCTGCTAATTTCTTCTTGGACTTGTTTTTGTTCCTTCACAAATTTCCTTACAAAAACAAAACTGAGTTTTAAAAAAAATACACTTTTGGTTTCCCACAGAAAGAAAGTACATTTACAATAAGTTGGTCAGAGTCCAAGTATTTTAAGAAGCAAACACTAAAAATTTATCTATAGTTCACATGCTTTTTTTAATAGAATGGCAGAGAATTTTAATTCCTGTTGTTCTACTTTCTAATTTCTAAAAGCATTAAAATTTTAATCCAAGTTAAAATGTTTAGGAGGAAGAGATGTTCCCCCTAAAATATATTCAAAATGTTTAGGAGGAAGAGATGTTCCCCCTAAAATATATTCTAGCATTCTTCAAGTATGATTTATCTGATCATATATGACACACTTACTGGAGATTTTCAACATCCTGGCAGATGACAGGAGGTAGATTTTCATCCTTCAGGGCCTTACTATCCCTAAGAAAAATACCACAGACATATTAAAACCATCGAGATTATAAAAAGCTGACAGCTGAGGTATACTAGACTATGTGTTAAGATACTAGAAAACAGAGCAAATATTTCCCATTTATAGCTTTCTTGAATGATTTCAAAGTTCTTTATAAAGAACAATAAATTTCCTGACCTATAAAATAACTAACAACTCATCTGACATGGAGATTTCTTTTCTAAGACTGGCATCTATTCTAAGTAATTAAATGCATTTGACTAAATGTTTAAGAAAAAAACTCAGAAAATACCACAGATTAGGTGAGATATTGAACTAAGTTCCCCTGGCTCAAAAATTCTATGACTGATATTTTATTCAGTTCAAAAATATTAAAGCATTCACTAAAGAAAGTCTACAAATTTCTCATAATGAGATGCTCACAATATTTTACTTTATTATTTTATAACTTCAATTTGTTCTTCAACAAAGTAAGACCTAGGGAATTGCTTAAGGGAATCATAACTACTTAATGAAGACAAGAGTAAGTGACATTTGGCATCACGTAAGAGAATCATGAGCTAGATTTCAGTTACAGATCTGCTGCTACTTCCTTGATATAACCGTAGGCCAACTCGGTCTCTCGCATCCTCCTCATTTATGTAAGAGGCTAAAGTATACACAAGATGTTGTGGAGGAGTGAGCTTCATCATTTATTTACAAATGCTTTATTTAATGTAATACAATCTGGGTGAGAAAATATAATTTGGTAATAAAAATAATAATCTTCAAACATATGTATGATGTATACGGAGGCTATTCTCTTCATCATCAGGAAATAAATGGTACTGGCACAGTAATTTTTATATAAAAGGGGTATATATATGTTTTCACTTATATATATAAATAAAAGGTGCTCCAAGAGTAAAGTTCCATGAGTAGTTCAATACTTTAATAAGTTAAAAAAATACATACGTGTATTTGTATTTATTGTATTATTTGGGGAAAAGCCAACCACTTCCTAGGAAGAAGTGATCCTAAATTTCTTTAATGATTAAAAAGTAAAGATTTGACCTTTCAAAATCTTTCTAGAGCATATGTTTACTATTTTATTTTTGACAAAAACTGGTTGAAAGTATTTTTCTTCTAAGTGCCTATACAGTTTCATTTACTTCCAACCATACCATTTGCCTGCAATTTAATAAATAAAACTCCTTAATTAAAATATTTTAAAAGTTAAAATATAAACTTACTCTGGTCTTGTTCCTGTTTTATCACCTAGAAAATTCAAGAAGCTTCATGTAAAAATAGGTAATTTAACAATGTATTCCAAATACATGTTTTAAGTTAACATAAACTAAGTTAGAAATAGAAACTGTTAAGCATTTCTTAGACCGCCTCTTAAATATCATGCGATGTCAACTTGTCACAAACTCCAAAGATAGCATGTTATGGAGACATGTTCAGGTACAGATCTTTGCATCTATTTCTTTCCACAGTAATTATCCTCCTTTTTCAACTATCTTCCATGAAAAATATTCTTCCTAGCAGTTTAACTCCCAAGAGCTTTACTTGACACATTTTAAGGCCATATCAGTGTAGAATACTAAAATATGTCAGATTACCTGAATTTCCCTATTGTACAAAAGCAGCAAACTAAAAAAATGAAAATAGTTTTTAATACCTGCAGACATATCAACAGCTCGCTCAGTAATAACACCTATTTGATAGTTATCCTTAATAATATATATCTAAAAGCAGAAAAGTAAAAATGCTCCTTCAGCAAATGATGCAGTGATTACCTTTCTGCTTTTCCAAAATTATTTCTGACTATAGGACTTGGTTAATTAAGAAAATATAGAAAATACAGAAACACACAAAACTTCATCCCACCCAGGGCGCTCAACGGTTCCTTCCAGCCTTTTTCTGCACTTACATACATATTTTTAAAAGCAATCGGGATTATCATAAATAATATTTGAACATACATTCTCAGCATGTTGGGAATATTTTCCATTCACTTACAATGACTTTAAGTGACCGTACACTACAGATGATGTACTGTATCATAACCTTTATGCCCCACCCTTTTCTTAGCATATTAGCATTTACTACATAAATAACGCTGCTACAATGAATGTATTTTTCTACAAATACTTGTGCATTACTTGATCTGTATTCCAAGAGGAATTTACAGATCAAAGAATACGCCAAGGAAGGCCTCTGATATATTACCAAACTGATCCCTTAAAACAACTGTCCCAATTTACTTTCCCTTCTACGATGAATAAGAGTACTTTTCCATCACACCCTTAACAACCAACATATTTTTAAAAAAAAATCATTGTCAGTGTATAGGTGAAAAATGCCACTCCATTATAATCTTAACTCATATTTCTGACAGTATTAAGTAAAGCAAAACACATTTCAAATGTTAATTAGACAAGCATATTTTTCCTTTTGTGAAATGCCTATTCATGTAATTTGTACATTTCTGAGGTCTTTTTCTTACTGACTTCTAAGAGCTATTTCAACAGTAAGTATATTAAGTCTCTGCCTCAAATGTATCATATTTCATGTGTCTATTTCTAAAATTAGATCCTTATAATTGTTAAGACACATCTCAATTTCAGAGACGTCAACATGTGAGAAAACAAGTGCTTTACTTTCAATTTGTCATTTACCTTTTACTTTGTACATGGGGTTTCTTTTTGTTTACCTCCTTATTCAACCGTAATTTATTTTTCCATATTTTATTATTTCACTGAAGCTAAGTTTTTCTTTTTTTTTTTTTTGAGGAAGATTAGCCCTGAGCTAACATCTGCTGCCAATCCTCCTCCTTTTGCAGAGGAAGACTGGCTCTGAACTAACATCCATGCCCATCTTCCTCTACTTTATACGTGGGATGCCTGCCACAGCACGGTTTGACAAGTGGTGCCATGTCCGCACCCGGGATCCGAACCTGCAAACCCCAGGGCGCCAAAGCAGAACGTGCAAACTTAACCACTGTGCCACTGGGCCAGCCCCCAAATTTTTCATTTCATAGTTTAACATTTCTGAAATTGGCACCCAGGACTTAGATTTAATGAGACAATAATACAAAGTAGGGATTTAATTTTATTTTTTTCCAAATAGTTCATTTTTATTGACTAATATCTTATTTTGCTATTTCTTTGCTATTCCATTTTTATCATATTTTACAAAAATTTATATAAACAAAACGTATATATAAAACTTGAGCCTGTTTCTAGATTACCATGGACTCCTGATTAGTCTACCTAGCTTTGCCTCAGTCATAAAAGCTTCCTAACAGTTCTCCACATCTATTCTTCCTTCCTTTCCACAGGGTTGTCAGAATGCTCTTCTTAAAATACAAATCTCATCATGTCACATTACCCAAATCAAAACCCTTTAGTGGATCCCAACTGTCTTCAGAATGATTACAGAATTCCTTAGCATGGCAGGCAAGGCCCTTCATGCTCTCTGGAGTCTGATCTTTCTGTTCTGTAGCTGCCCTGGCCTTCCAGCAGTTCTTCAAAAGGGCCAAGGTCATTCTCATCTCCAGGTCTCACTGCATGCTGCCCCTTCTTCAGGAAATGGTGTTTCCTACCACTCTTCATCTGATTGAACTCCTCTGATAACGCAGGTCCAGGCTAACTGATATAGCTACTAGGAAAAAATAGAAATCCTTTAGATTAAAAAAAGAATCCCTTGGGCCAGCCCTGGTGGCCTAGTAGTTGAGTTCTGCCCACTCTGCTTCAGTGGCCCAGGTTTGGCTCCTGGGTGCAGACTTACACTGCTCCGTTAGTGGTCATGCTGTGCTGGTGCCCCACATACTAAAACATGGAGGAAAGATTGACACAGATGTTAGGTCAGGGCGAATCTTCCTCAGCAGAAAAAAAAGAAAAAAAAGAATCCTTTGACAACATAACAGACTAAAGGGAATTGGGATATGGTACATGTTGGCAATAACATTTATTCCATGCATTCCTTTCACTCAACTCTAGCTAAGGCATGTGAGTAGGACGATGTGGGGGGAGGTGCAGCAAGGGTAAAAGACAGGGGAGATTAACTCTTTACATTTTTCTTACACCTTCGCCTCAATCTGCCCTTTCACATGGAGCCTAAAAGCAATCAGTGAAGACAAAAGTAGTCTCATGCTTAAAACAGAACTAGTTGGAGGGTATCAGGCTGCTTCAAATGAGTAAAAAAATGAGCTGCTAAAACATCTAAGGCTATTTTTCTAATTATAGAGTTGCCATAAGGAAAAGTAAGTAAAAACAAGAGATAGGACCCTATGTTTAAGAATTAGTCGATTCTCTTTCAAAGGGAAATAAATCCAAATCTTTTCAGTTTAAAAGGATTTTACCAACTTTTGGAATAGTAATTCTAAAAGCATCTAGAATAGCATGTTCTTATAATAATACCCATGTCCAATTTAAAAAAAATTCGTATACAGACATATGGACACTGAATATGTTACACCTTCATCCACTACCTCACTTTACGTTCTTCAGAGAGTATCAACGCAACAGGTAAATATGTACTCTAGTGAAACATGCTTTCATCAGAAGCAGACAAGATGTTGCAAAACAGAACAAAAAATCACACACACAGAATCAACAATAATAATAAACTTCTCAAAATGAATTTGGATTGGCAAATTTTTAAAAAGAATATTCAGGATGGCAAGAGCACAGGGAGAAGGGCATTTTCATACTGTCTGGTGGGGAAATAAAGTGGTAAAATCTTTCTGGAAAGTAGTTTCACAATATATACCAAGAGTCCCCAAAATGTCCTTCTCTTTAAGCCAATGACTCAATTTCTAGGTATTTTACCTAAAAAAAAAAATAACCCCAAATACGAACAAAAATTTCTAATAAACGCAAATACCTAGACAGCATTTACTCTGTGCCTGGCTCTGCAAAGGTTTACAAACAGTAATCCTCAAACCAATCCCATGAAGTAGGTACCATTATTTTCCCCCACTGTATAGATAAGGAAACTGAAGTACAGAGAGGATGAATAACTTATATAAGGTCACAGAGTTTATAAACATTTGAGCCAGGATTTGAACCCAGGCAATTCAGCTCCAGAACTGGCACTCCTAAACTGTGATAGTATGTTGCCTCTCTCTATAAAGATGCCCAATACAGTGATACTTCCCAGAGGAAAGGAACTGAAAACAAACACTAACAATAGGGTGACTGTTAGGTTGACTAAATTATGATATATCTATTCATAAAACTGGTACTAAGCAGCATTAAAATACTTTTAGGAATTATTGACACTGACACATATTTGAGATACATCATATGAGAAAGAATAGGTTACAAAACAATATATTTATCATGATCCCAATTTAAAAGTATACAATACACACATTAAGATAGCTAAATAAGACATATGCACATATAAATCTTATTTTCCTACAAAAATAAAATTTTCAAAGCACAACACACAGCAAATTCATGAAATATGATGCAAACAAACTTAACAGTAAAAACTTTACCACTGAATATATAACTAACAATCTTTGAAATATAGGAATCAAGTTTCCTTAACAGGACTGTTAGAACAAAAAATTACAATAACATTACTTACTCTTTTTATCTGACGAGCTACTAAAATCTATACCACCAAGGCCTTCGTTGCCTGCAGTTGAAGTAGCTGCCGTAGTTCCCAAGGTCAAGCCTAAAGCATTCTGTCCAAGTCCTACAAACAAGCCAGACATCACTCACAAAGCTCACTCAAAGGCTTTATAACCATCTTCCCTCACTGACCAAAGCACTCAGATACTTTTAAGTTGGATCCCAGATTTTCTTCATACTTGATTTGGGCAAATGACAAGAAACAAATCTACAGCATGCTTCGGACAAAGACTTACAGTCTTGCTTGGATTCAATGCTATATGTAGTTTAGATGATGTGATTTTTCTTTATGAAAAGGATCAGAATGTATCTGTTAGTTCAATATATTTGGACACGATTTTCTTGTTTTTAAACTCTCTCTACAAAAGCAGCTTTAGTTTGTACATTTTCAGGTAAATAGATCGTCTCCCAATCATGCTTTGGAATTGTATACTTTTAAAATAATCTAGTCCTGGATGTGTTAATTAACTCAATGGTGGGAATCCTTTCACAATGTATATGTATGTATGTATCTCAAATCATCATGTTGTACACTTTAACTATCGTATAATTTTGTCAATTATACCTCAATAAAGCTGGGGGAAAATAAATAAAATAATCGAGTACGAATTTACAAGATTGTAGTATAACATAGAGCAAACAGCTTTACTATTAATGAAATTTAAAGAACTGATATTGGAAGTCTTACAGTTCAAACATCATCAAAATTTCATAGTCTCAAGTTCTTTTCATAAAACTTTTGAAAACATAAGTAGACTTTTTAAAATTTAGACATTTATTTAAATCTTACCTCACTGACAAAAGGAACTGAAGAGGCTAGACTATAGTTAATCTTAAGTCATTAATGTATACTTGTGAATCAAGTAGCAAAATGTCAAAGATCTTGCGTTGGTAAATTATGCAAATCCATGCATTCTGAACTGTGGATCTTTTTAGACAAGACGCTATTTACTTTAAAAGCAAAAGAAACAGTAGGCTGTACTAGATAAGAGCATGGGATAACTGAAAACTGGATTTAAATCTTGGGAATGCTTGAAAAACATAGCTAAAAAAATAACTGTTGTTAATTTTTTAAAAATCAATGCCGCCTTTAGGTTAACATAACCATAAATTAAGCATTGACTATTGTGTCAAGAGCCTAAGAAAAATCAGAACAGACCTAAAAACTCAATAACAAGACACAAAAACAACTCTCTACCTCTCCTTTCTATTATTTTTATGTTTTACTTTCATAGGAATTTTTGGGAGATGTTCAAAATATTTATCCTGCAAAAAAATATGTTACAGTCATCTAGTAATTTGGTTACTAGAAGACTATTTGGTTATTAGTAGACATTTTCAATACTATAAAGTTAGACAATAATGATAAAGATAAGTCTTTGAAAGATTAATGCAAATTTGAACACTACAAATTTCTACAGATCATTTTGACAAAGTCATTTTTTCCCCTTCCACTGACTTGGAATTTCTCCATTAAATTTGGTCTCTGAACAGAAGACATGAAAGAACCATAGTTTTAATAGAAAATATAGTCACATTCCTTCATCTCTCCCACCCAACCAAGTAAAGTATCAGACACATACTAGGTGCTCAGTAAAACTTCTGAAATTAAATAGCTATTGTAAGTTAACCTAAGTACTATTGGAAATTCTGTGATTTCAACATCTATCAACTTTTCCCAATCTGTAAATTGTTAAACAGAAATTCTTGCTGTTACAATGCTATGTGAGGTAATTACACAATTTCTTCAAATAAGAATGCTTTTCTCACTCCCACAAAGCCCCACTGGCTTTCCTACATTGGCCTTAACTATAACCAATATTCAAAACATCTGTAGAATCCTTAACATGAAGCTTATCTCAAAATAAGCATGAAATGAGAAATCAGACCAAGATATAAAATATTAATTCAGTATCCTCTGCCAGGTGAACTGGTACTTCAGCATTTTGCCTGACTATAACAAAATTATTTAATATTTGTGTTTTAAAATTTTGCCTTCAAAGCATGCTAATACCCTTTCCTGGTGTCTATAATGGAAAGTCATTCCTAGAACTGGAGCTTAAAACGTCAAGTTGTCTTACAATGAATTTAGGCAGTTACATGATCTACAATATTCAAATGCCATTTATTAAAAAGAAAGTTTCTCTAGAACAGTTTACCAACCAGGGCTCCTCTTTCTTTCCTTACCTAGTCAATTAATATTGAGAAACAGGAATATGTATTTCTAAAATACAGCTAAGATGTCCAATTATGTATAAAAAACATTATTTTATAATTCAGTTTTCATACCAAAGGGAAAATACACAGGATAAAGAGACAAAGTGATCTGCTCGAAAGGCCAAAATAAAGATAAAGTAAATTTAAATATAAATATCTGCTATTTCTGGAAAGCAAATATCAATTACCTGATGTTGCTGTGTTTGTACTCTGGAAAAGTGAACCTCCCAGACCAGCTAAGGCTCCCCCTAAAGAAAGGCCTGTTGATGCAGTCGTAGTTGTGGCTGTTGCTCCACCCAAATTATTTAAAGTAAATCCTGTGGATGCTATAAAAAGTGAGATTGTAAGCCTTCACAAAGAAACATCATTCCTAAGAACACTACAGAAAATACAAAACACTTAGTAAAACAAAACGATGTCGTCCATGATAAAACTGGCTCTTGGGGAAAAACTACTCACTAAACATAAAATTACATACACTTAATAAAGAGAAATAGTACCTTCAAAGTAAAAACCAGTAACAGAAATATGGGCTTTGGGTAATAACAGAATGGTACTAGGTAACTGATTCTGGACAGCAATAGTTTTCAACCCAGTTCACCAATCCCACCCTCAAAATTGAATGAATCCTAAGCCAGGAAAGGTTTATGCAAACTCTTGATCCTTCCCTGTCACCAAAATGCTCCTTGAAGACAAAGTGGATGTTAACATTTTTACATTTTACCTCTCTCACTCTCTCCCCTGACTTGCTATGTAAACAGAGACCAACTTCCAAGACGTCCTCCGCTGCTTTAATGCCCAATGCTGACCTTCTTCACAAATCAATTAGTAAGTCAAAACTGCTAAATGACTGACATAAAAATTTTCCCAAACTAAAGTTATCTTTAATAAAGGTGGATATCTATGCTCACTAGCCAAATAAAGTTGAAATTTAAGCATAAAATGCAACTTTTTTCCATTCTGCCTCACCTGCCGGAGTTGATGTCAGAGCAGACGAAAGAGTAAGACCACTAGCTGAGGTAGAAGTAATAGGCAGAGCAAACGGCGTGGCGGATGCTGCCGGTTTACTGAATCCTAAACTGAAACCAGTGGTAGATGCAGATGTAGTAGCTGGCGTTCCTTTAAAAAAAAAAATCCTATTTTACCATAACTGTATATGTATTATACCAGCTTCAACCAGGATCCCTAAAAGTTTATGATCCTACTTTTTGTAGAGAAAACAATGATATGTGTACTTATGTATGTATGAGAGAGAACAATATGAAAGTTGGAACCAAATCATGGTGAACACTGAAAAGATGGCCCTGTGAGTCAAGAAAAGCAAAAGAAAGTCCAATCAGCATGGTAATATTGAAATCCAATGTCAGTTCTACTCCAGGGTTTACCTAACCCAGCATTTACCCTTCCTTTCCTTCGTACTCAGCACAAGAACACTCCCTCTTCTCCAAGAGCATTTAAGCGACCACTCTGCACTGCTTCAAATCCTCTTCCTTCTGGCTTCTGTTTGTCAGCTCCCAGTTCTCTCCCTCCTACTCCCTGTGCTATTCCTCTCAGGCTGCTTTTGTAGATCTCCTGCCTCTGTTCACTTCTTAAATGATACTCCCTATGGTTCCACTCCTGCTCCCTTACTTCCCGAACGCTCTCAGGCACTTTCAGAATTTCAGCTGTAGGCACACGGGTCTAAATCTGCATCTACCTGAGTCTCCATTCACTAGCTCTACCTGGATATCCCTTTGGACTCCTACACATCTCCCTATAAAAAACTTTCCTAAAAACATGTCCCACCGTGGTCAATTCAGCTGCTCAAGCCAGAAACCACAATCATCTTTGCATCCCTTCCCTCCTCTGCATTCTGTTAGTCACAAGTCCCGTCAATTCTACTTTAGAGATATCCCTTGATTACAAACATCTCAAAATCCTTAGTTCAGGCCATCTCTCTCTCAAGAACTATTACAATAAACCTCTTAATTTGTTTCTCTGCTATCGGTCTCTTCCAACCACTAATCTATTCTTGGAATTATCTCAGTTACTTTAAAAAGAGAAAGGGGCTGGCCTGGTGGCACAGCGGTTGAGTCTGCACGTTCCGCTTTGGCGGCCCAGGGTTCACCGGCTCAAATCCTGGGTGTGGACATGACACTGCTTGGCAAGCCATGCCGTGGTAGGCGTCCCACATATAAAGTAGAGGAAGATGGGCACGGATGTTAGCTCAGGGCCAGTCTTCCTCAGCAAAAAGAGGACGATTGGCAGCAGATGTTATCTCAGGGCTAATCTTCTTCAACAAAAAAAAAAAAAAAGAGAGAGAGAGAGAGAGAGAGAGAGAGAGAACAACAAAAAAATAATACCCTGGTGATTCCCCCAGACTTAAGGTTCCCACTAGTGCTATACTGTCTCTAAAATAGAGTCTAAGGGCTTGGTATGACCACCTTTCCTATCTGGTCCCAACCTGCTCCTTAAATCTCCTCTCCCTATCATTCCTTCTTCTGAATCCTAAACTCCAAGAACAAAGTATTTTTCCTTTTTCCCTGGATCCTTTTACGATTTGGCCTTTGCATTGTCCACTCCTTCATCTGGAATTGTTTCCTACTCCCAAAATAAACTCCAACTCTCCTCTTCCTCTGGCTTCCTTGGCGTCTTTCATACATCGTTAGAGCATTTATCAGATGACACCAGAACATATATCTGCCTGTTCCCTTCACCTCACAACAGACTGAATGCTTTGCTCACGCACTCAGCAGTTCCTGACATCAGTACCATCCTGATCACCAGCATCAAACCAAGATCTAACAGTGAACGTTCAAGGCATCATGCATACCCAAGGCCACTGAGTTGGGAAATAGCAGCTGCTCAAAAAGTGTAAACGAAGAAATGCATGCATCATCTGCATTTTGGCTTCTCCTGAGAGCACTGAGAGAAAAGAAGCCAGAAATTATACTTTTGGATTGCCCTTACCACAAGTGGAAGTTCCTACCAGAGTTCAGTGCTTTGAAATCATGTTCTACCCTCACAGAAAATAGGATCCAACTGCTTTCCCTTGTAGCCAATCCTGTCTAAAACCCTGGTGGTGAACGGATGTGTTGTGTTTTCTGTTGACAAGTAGCATCCAAATAAAGTCCACCAACCTTCATTTTCATGTTTAATTTAATTTAATTTTAACTGAGGTTCCTCAATGCCTTTCAGTCTTTCATTTCCTTTCACATTATTTACTGCCATCCAGATTCAAGGCAGGCAGTAACCCTAGTCATCCACATTCCCTTCAGCACATCACTACAGAGAACCATGATGTTTTTGAGGCAAGGGAATCCAAACACTTTTCAGTCCAATACCCTCGTTTTATAGATAACTAAAAGCTGCCAGACATTACATGACTGTTTAAGGCCTCACAACTATTTAGAGGTTCAACCAGGGCTTAACTCCAAGACTTCCGACTAGAGTTTAGTGCTTTTTCCACTACAAGGACGCAAATGACTGAAAATGTAATGTGAAATAAATTTCCACAGAAAAATCATTTCTGTATTTAAATTTTTTTATGAATTAAAAAAGACTATCTAGTCACTGATTTTTTAAAAATTCAAATACTGAAAGTCAGTATCTGTGATCTATATTCAGTTCCTTACATACTTTCTTCTACACCCAAGCTCTGTGAGATATTAGGAAAGAGAAGAGCAGAAACCACAGATCTGGGATCTTTCCTCAAAAATTCTTACCCAGAGTTAATCCAGTAGTTATAGTTGTTGCTATTCCTGGGGATAAGAAGAGAAATACAATTTAATCATCACTGGAAGATGGCATTCGTTTTGTGTGTCATAAGGGCAGGAGTTGGATTCCCTCTCCGGGAGTGATAACACTGCTAACAGGAACAATATGTATCACAACATCCTCCACAACCACACCCTAACACAAGTGCTCTACGGTCTGCGGACTACAAAGTACAGAATGTCACTAATTAGGAAATAAGATTTGTAAAATGCAAACAACTGTTGTTTATAACAAAATTAGGCAAGGAGAAAAAAAGCTACTCCAAGCAAAACACTGGCACACAGAGCTGTCTCAAGAAGCTCCCTGGCTAGTCTCATATTTACTCCTGCAGTTCTTTCATTTTCTACATGTGGCTGTGAAAAGTACGGCAATCAAAGCTGGAAAGTCAACGCAAAAGGTGGTAACAGAGACCAAGGGGCTCTGAAGTAGAGAATAAAGGGTAAATAAGGAAGCAAACTCTTAAATGGTAGCTCCAGTGAAACATATTTTTAGCTTATAATAACAAACTACCTGTAAGTATTAAAAAAAACTTTTTATTATTGAAATGTCCACCAGAAACCTTTACCTCTTGCCCTTTACTTAGTGAAACAATTGCTTTAATACAAAAATTTAAAACATCTCTTAGGGATATAAATTATGAAGTTATATCAAAATACAATGCTGACTGTCCCATATATGCTAATTTTAATTAACATCCAAATTGGCAAACTTAACAATCTTCACTAAAGCAAAACAACATTATATAGTCTAATATTAAAATTTTAATTACTTTAACTCATTAAAGAGACATATCTTCTTCAATTCTTTAAGTGGGTGTGTGTGTGTTTTTTCCTTCCATACACTAAAGTAGATCATAGCTGCTGACTGGGCCTATTGCTGGCCCTTAATTGCACATCTCTATGTTTCTTTTCATCTTCGTATTGACCATTTTTAGGTCTACCACCAATGACGATTCTTGTAAAAGGAGGAGACAGAACCTGAAAAAGAATAAATATCTCAAGCTTACTTCCTGAAAATGTGGCAATCCTCCTTACCTGTATTTGTTCCTCCTAGAGTGAACCCAGTGGCAGGTTTGGATCCAAAGAGCCCGGTTCCAAAACCACCCGAAGAAGCAGATGTAGTTGCTGGAGTCGAGGTGCTCCCAAGAGTTCCAAAATTGAGGCCCACAGAGGGATTGCTTGTTTATAAAAAACACAAAATGAAGTCTACGAGAGCCAATATTTACTTAAGAAAAATGAAAATTAACTCTTCAAGGTTAATTTTTCTTTCATTTAACATATTTAATACATCTGCATAGGATACAAAAGGAAGTAACAATTTACCTTTAACCAAACAAGTTCAAATATTTTTCTGTTCTCTTTAAAATCTACATATAAAATTAGTCTTAAAAAATATAATACCAGTCTTCAAGAAAAGCATAATCTATAGCAAGTAGGATTTCAGACCCCAAGAAATCATAAACAGGTTCACACATATTCTGCTTTCACCAGTTTTTGTTTGAAAGTTCACATATTTTAAAACAGCCATAAGGAAATCCCATGAATGTGGATCATTTTCCTCTTAAACTACTCACACACAGTTCTCATTGCTAAATTATTTGCTTCTTCCCCAACTATTAATATAAAGAAAAGAAAGACACACTCAGAAATAGAAAAGTTACTCTCAGTTGTCTTCACCATCTTTCTATGGCTATATTACCATATTCATGGGGGGTTGGAGGATTAGGTAGGTATCTTGCCACCGAAAAAGCTTTAGGAAGATCTGGGTGCAGCGCGTAGCGGGGAGGGACAAGAACAGACACATCCAGGTAAGAGTAAAATGCAAAGCAAAATTACCCTCTGTCAAGATTATGTGTTCATCAGTAGAAATCTTCTTCAGAGTTTCTGAAAGCTTAAAAAGAGCAGCTGACAATAACAAGCGATGTGAACAAAGCTCACAACTTTTCAATGGTCCTTATCCAGTCTCAGAGGCTCAAACTCACCGCCCGTAGGTGGGAGAATAAATTATGAAAATAAGCCAAAAACCTCGACAATTTGACACTCCAAAAATTATGTAGGAGAGTTAAGAGAAATTATAACAACATGTACAACATAACGGGAAATCCCATTCATCCTATAGATGTATCTTTATTACTTCTCACTCTGTCCTTCCAGACAGACATAATCACCATGAGAGACCCAATGTGAGTTTAAAAAAGCTTAAAAGTCAAGGGTGTTTCAATTTAAGGGGACGGCAGCAGTGTTGTGGCTGGGTTCGAGTATCAGCTTCCCAATGTGCTGGTACTTGTGTGACATTAAACTTTTTGAGACTCAATTTCCTCATCTGCAAAATAGGAATAACGGTATCCACTTAACAGAATTTTTTATAAAGATTAAGAGATTATGCAGGGCAAATTAACTTTACTCAATAACTGTTATTACTTACTGTTATAAATAATACTTATAAATTCAACTGAACACATTACGTACAAGGTATTACGCCAGCTAATCACTGTGAGGGGAATGCAGAAGGAGGAGCGTATCAATGAGGTAGAACTTGAAATCAGTGAACAACACTGAGTAGGAGGAAGGAGAGGGCATACCCTAATTGTGTCTTAATTTACCACTGATTCTAAAAATGATCCTTATGAACACGTGTGTGTGCCCCTGGGTGTATGAAGTATAGGGGGTCGGCAGAGCAGGGTTGCAAAATCTCGTAAATCTTTAAACATTTAATCAACTGAATCAAAAGGTATTTTAAGAAACAGTATTGGCAAATATTGAGGACATCAAATTAAGAAAATGATTAATATGCTCGCCTTCCTCCCAAACAAATCAGTGATCCCATTTGTATCTACTGCTATTCCAGAAATAAACAAAAGAAGTACAGTGAAAGTATGTACTTTCAGTCAATTAAAATAATTTAAAATTTCTTGACAACTTAAGAAAACTGAAGACACAAGGAAGTGTTTTGTAACTAAAGTTGAAAACATTACCAAAGAAATACATCAAAGTGAAATCTTCTTACTCTACCAGAGAAGCAAAAGGGAAATTTCTCTGCAGCAGAGAAATTTACTTACTTAAGAGAAAAACAAAAGCTACCCCCGCCCTGACCGATTATTGCCTCAACCCAGTATTATCTGCCAATGCCCCACAGGACGTCTTGTAGAAAAGCCCTCGACTCCAGCAGGTCCGGCCTGTTATTTTAATTTCTGGAGCTTGGGTTCATGCGGACTTAGGAGCTAACAGACCAGCTAACATTTATGGAGCACTCACCAAGTGCTGGAGGAGCTGCTAAATACTTTCCATGCTTTATCTCATTCAATACATCTCTGAGGTAAATATGTTGTTATACCCCTTTTCCAGACATGGCAATTGAGGCTTAGAGAGTAACTTCCCCAAGAATAACTTACCTAAAGAGACCAGATCACCAGCTGCCACTAGGGGCAGACAGGCCTCCAAACCAGGACTCCAACGGACAGATGTTAAGACTGTCCCTCCTTCTATTAATTTATCCAAGCCTTTCTGAAGCCTGTGTACATTTTTCTAATTTACTACTAATAATTCATTTATTCAATCAATCGACAAGTGTTTAGTAAAGTCCTTTTTATATGGCAGGCTCTGTCATAGAGACTGAAGATGGAGTAGTAAATATGACTCAGACCCTGCCCTCAGGAAGTTCCTAGTCAGTGAGAAAACGAGATTAATCAATCATTCATTCATTCATTCAACAAATATACACTGAGCTCCACTGTGTCAACCAGAAAAATAGCATGAAAAAGTCTCCACCGCCATGGAGCTTACAGTCTATTGCCGGGATCAGACAATAAACAAGTCAACAAAAAACATGATGAACTGACTACAACCGTGGTAAGCGCTTCGGTGGATGAGGACGGAGACCTCCTCCTGAGCCACAGGTCAGAAAAGGCCCCTCTGGGGAAGCAACCACGAGAGTCCCCAAAGTGGGCATTAGCTTGGCAGACAGGGTGAGAGGCAGTAGGGAAAGTGGAGGCAGAGGGAACTACCTTAAAGTGGGACAGGATTTGGCCAAGCCCACTAGGAGTTGAGAAGAGGCCCGTTACTAGAGTAGGGTTTTTCAAACTAAAGCAGGACCTGTGAGAGGAGTATAAAATCAATTTAGTAGATCACAACCAGCATTTAAAAAAATGAAATGGAACCAAATAGAAAATATCAAAGTGCATCACTTGAAGTAAGGGTAAGGGTCTTTCTTTGACACTTTGTTTCAGTTACTTATCTGTGTGCCTGTACTGGGTGTTAATGCAAATGTTATTTTTTTTTTTTAAATAAAAGACTCAGGATGAGTCTGAAGAGATTCCAGGTTATTTAGGTCTCGCAGATCATGGTACGATTTATTTTTACTTCATTCCAATGACAGTGGAAAAATCACTGAAGGGAGGCAATGGGAATTTAAAAAATCACTCTGGCTACAATGTGGTAAAAAGATTGACTTAAGAGGAGATTTTTGAGACAGCAACTAGGATTCCATTGAACTAACCTAAGTAGGAAATGATGGGAGAAGTTTTCATCTAACAGGAGAAAGGTGAGTTGTTGAAAAGCTGGCAGTGATCATAAGGATTTTCACAAGAATGTAAGCTTCAAGAGAGCAGGACTCTTATCTTTAACCCCTAAAACAAGTCTACTTCACAGGAGTCTGTTCAGTAAATATTTGTTCCACGAACAACGAGAGCTTGCAACAGGGTGGTGGCACTGGGGATGAAGCAAATGGAAACTGAAGAATTACAATTATCAGGCCTTGCTGATTAAGCGTGTAGAGTGAGACAAAAGGAGGTATTAAGGAAAACTCTCAGATTTCTGACTTGACTGTGTAGTCTGTCACCCCCGCCCCTTTTTAATAGACAATGCTGAAGGTATTCTTGCCTTGTCAATCTACAACCACATTCTTCAAGCTTCAGGAGATATCTTGTAACTCATTCTATATACACTCCTTGGTTGAAAGAACTCCTCCACTTTATCTTCAGAAGACTGAGTTCCAAAGATTAAATCTCTCATAATTAAAATCATCTTTAACTGCCTCTGTCTGTACCTCTGCTACGCAAATTTTTGTCACCTTCTGAAGTGGTGGCGTAGCAGGTTGCACAAAAATGATGAATGTTACCTACATTTTGCAATTTAAATTTAAATGTGAGTCATTACGACAACACTCTCACCTATAATATACTAATTCAAACACTTCTATTCAAAATAATCACCAACAAACTCTGTAAAAAGTATTTAAAACAAACTAAAAAAAGGACAGATAGGGTCCCATGAGGCACAAAGACTTGAAAGCTCGTTTAAAACAACGGCGCAATCACTAAGGCCCTGCAATGTCCAAAACCGTAACTCTGCACTGGAATCTGAATTATCAGGGAGAAATTTTTGATTGTCCTCCTTAGAATTTTCTATTGTCTTTTCCTAAAACCTCACAATAAGCTACGGTCTCATTCATTCGTTCCACATTCATTCTGCGCCTAAGACCGGCGCGTCGCTCGGGCTCAGCAGGGAAACCCAGGCCCTCACGCCGCCGGCCGTCCCTCGGCGGGGACCGCGCCGGAACCATCGCGGTTCCCGGGTCCCCCCGACAGAGACGGCGCCCTCCTCCCACCAGCCGCCGGGGCCGGCCAGGGCGGCGAGCGGGCGGCCTACGAGCCCGGCGCGGGGCAGGTCGTCTTCTCCAGGCCTCCGGGGAGCCAGCGGGAAGAGAGAGAGAGAGGGGCGCGACGCCCCCGGGAGCCGCCGCGGAGGCCCCGGCCGGGCCGGCGAGGAGGTGCGGTTACCTGGACGCGCTCGTCCCGAAGGAGAAACCGCCGCCCGTGCCGGTCCCGCCGGCGGCCACGGTGGTGGAGCCCAGCGTGCCGGTCCCGAAGGAGAAACCCGTGGACATGGCTGCCCGGGGCGCGGTGCCGCCAGCAAGCTGCAAGGGCTCTAGGACTCTCCTCCCGCCTAAAGCCGAGCCGGGCCGGGCAACATCACTCTCCCCGAACCCGGATCTGGCGGGAACCTCCAACCGCGGGAACGGCCAAGACCAGGCCCAAGAGGGCGGAGCTCGGCTCCGCCGCGCGCTCGTAGCTCACGGGGGCCAGCCCGCCGCGCAGGGAACCCTGGGACGGTGAGGGGCTGGGCCGGCGCGCGGCGCAAAGCGTCCTGGGACAAGGTGGGGTGGAGCCCCGCCTACTCTCCTAAGCGGTGGGCCCCCTGAGTCAAAAGCCGGCCCATCCCTTTTTGTTAGTTCTGTGTTGGTGTTTGTGCGGCTTCTGTACTTTGTGACCGTTGACTCTCAATGTTACTTATATTTTTGCTTACTGCCAAAAAAGGATGTGCAGAATCCCAGCGTTGGGAAGGCCCTATTGAGCATCCCAAGCCCCTCTTTCAGAAAAGGAGGCGCTTCCAGTCTTTCCTTGGCTGCCTCTCGTTCCCCAGGGAGGACGGAGCGTGTCTGCTTCCTGATGGTTTGCAGATCAGTCGATAATACCGCATACTCGTTTCATTGTGCCTTGCTTTATTGCGCGTCGCTCATACTGCGTTTTTTGCTGGACTCTCTGCCCCCAAAAAGATTCTGACTCGCTGAAGGCTCAGATGATCGTTAGCTTCTTTTAGCAATAAACATATTTAAATTAAGGTATGTACCCTGTGATTTTAGACATAATGCTATTGCACATTTAATATAGTATAGTGTACACATAACTTTTACATGCACTGGGAAACCAAAATATTCGCGTGGTTCGCTTTATTGTGATACTTTATTGCTGTGGTGTGCAACTGAACCCACAATATCTCCAGGCATGCCTTTCATTCACTCATCCATCTACTGACGTGAGCCCCAGCTCAGCGCCGCGTGGGTGCCGCCGGAGCCCGCTAAGGGCAGTCACCGGGAGCCCGATGCGCGGCCCTGAAGGAAGCTCAGAAGAGCGTCCTTTCGTGAGCGGAGTGGTCAGTTCTGTTAGTGGTGCTGAGCAAACAGAACTGGCCAAGGCGCCTGGATGGCAAAGTATGTTGTCAAGTCCGCAAATAGTGTCAGCGTATCCTGCAGGGGAAGAGGGCCCGGCCTGGGGCGGAGCGTGTGGGGTTCCTCCTGGATGGCTGCCTCCCACCTTTGCGGCGCTCAGGAACCACAAAGTGAAAGGGATTTTTAAAAAGTACAGAAACAAGTATAATATAAGGCGAAATATAAGGCTGCTATGAGTAACCTTTTAACATAGGAAAAATGTGGGTTTAAAGAAGCACTCCCCTCTGGCAGAAAGATCAGGACAGACTGCCTGGCGGTGATGCCTTTGAGGTGCTGCCATCATAATGTGGGTCTTTATTTTTCCACCAAGGATTGTTACGTTACTCCCGCAAAAGGTTTTACTACCTGTAGTCTCTTCCAATAAAATTCATCCCATAAGCAGTCACCAGATTTTCTCTCCTAAAACATAATTCTTACCACAACACTGCCTTGGTCAAAAACCAGTGGCTGTTTGTCTGGCGCTCAATGTCCTGTACGTAACCAATCTTTCTAACCTCACATCTTGCAACTCCCCTTGATGCAACACTTTCTCCAGTATTGAACTTGGGCTTTGCCACCTGTTATGAACTGAATTGGGTCTCTCCAAAATTTCTTTTGTTGCAGCCCTAACCCACAGTGCGATGGTTTTTGGAGGTGGGGCCTTTGGGAGGTAATTAGGGTGATGAGGTCATGAGGGTGGGGCCCTCAAGATGGATTAATTCCCTTATAAGAAGAGACTCAAGAGAATTCCCTCTCCTTTCTCCACCTCTAAGGACACAGCCTAAAGGCAGCCTTATGTGATCTGGGAAGAAAGCCTATGGGCACCTTGATCTTGGACTTATCAGCCTGCTGCACTGTGAGAAATGTTGTTTAAGCCACCCAGTCTTTGGTATTTTGTTATGGCAACCTGAGCAGACTAATAAACCACCTCTGTGTTTGTATAAATAAAAATTAAATAGCATTTAGAATATGAAGGTCACCATGGGAATGATAAAACAAAAGAGAAGAAGGACATATGTGAACTATAGTATAAAGAAAAAATTCACAGTGATTGAACAGGAAGAGAAAAATAAAATACGGTGGGTTTTAGAGCTTCAATGATCTAGAGAATGCTATTATCAATGATGACTCTAGGATAGTCAGTAAAGGACTGAGGATATGAAATCTAGGGGACTTTTGACTGGGGAAAAAAAGGTAGATCCAGACGATTTTTGTAGGAAGACAGAAAGTGGCTCCCTATGTCTTTTAGTGGCATTTCTGACTTGTATCTGTCAGAGTAGTTTAAGTTATACTACAGTAAACCCAAAAATCCCACAGAGAGAAGCACTGCAGAGATGGAAACTGGAATATTTGGTGAACAGTAGTACAATCTACCACAAGCCGCTAGGTGCACCAAATGTAAGACTAGACCTCAAAGACCCTTTCTCATCTTCTGTGCCGTCTTCTCTTTGTCCTATTAGCAAAAAGAAAAGAAAAGAAAAAACTTGACATCCTTATGTTCTACAGAAATAAAGAACGCAGCTTCTATAAGCCCAATTGTTTGGTTATTCAATTGAAAAATGACAGTAAAATGGCAGTAACATAAACTTCATGCCTATTTAAACCTAAAGCCTATCCAGCGAGGCAAACACATGCAGTGCTGGAATTTCTTAACCCTCCCAACCTAATGAGAGGAACACATGCTATTCCAAAGGACGTTCCAAACATTCCCCTTCGACATCATGACACCTGAACCATATGTCAGTTCTGTGTGAATTACTGCTTTCCAAGAATAAAGCAAGTGATTCAGATCCTAAACTCTATGGCAAGCCATTTTGCTTCCCTTTGCTTTTTATATTGTGAGAATTCTGTCAAGAAACCCCATCTTTTGCTGATTTACTGGCTGTGTGATGACATTGCTAATGTCATAGACTGAATCATCTGAAAGGCAATAGCACTAAAAAGATTCTAATTTGGCTTTGCATTAAAATATCTAAATAGGCTTGCCTCAGTGGTATGTTCAGATGGGGACAACCTTTTGAGAAGTACCAGTTGAGACGTTCTAAAACAGAAAGGAAATGGGAATCACAAGTCTGTTTAAAGGGATCTATATATGTATGATCTGATCCTCTGAAATATCCAAGAGAGAGCTATCTTTTAGAGACTATATATAACCAGTTGCCCTCTATCTTGAATTTATTCTCAGAAGGGGTCTATTGACTTTAAAGATTTAGCTAGTGTCCTTCCTCTTTAGAAATCTTATTAAGTTTTCAAACAATCCAACAACAAAATTTATAGAGAGATGAATAATGAAAATGTCACAAAATGTTAACAATTCGTGACTCTACAAGCAAAATATATGGGTGTTCATTGTACGTACTACTCTTTCAACTTTTCTGTGGGTTTGAAATTTTTCAAAATAAAAAGTTAGAGGGAAAAAGCCTAAAGCTAAAACGTGTTTCCAACAATAGATCAGAACAGTAATGATCTGTTTCCCCCAAGAAATGAGGAAAACGAAAGCAATGTAGGGAGTTTTCCATGAAGCTAAATATATTTAATTCAAAGTGTGGTCATTTATTTTGAAATTATGTCCTTCCTATTGGTGAGTATGGGGGATGGGACATGAACAGTTGCTTTCATGATAGTGGATAAGGAAAAGATCAGGAAAAGAAACTTGGAAATGTCAGCATAAAATAAATGAGGGAAGCTCTCTTCTTGCCACCATTTTTCATTCTTCCCTTTTTCCTTACAAAAAACATCCCATTTTTGTTCAAGGTGGTACATCAACCAGGTATACAACTACATACCCCGACTTCCTTTACAGGTAAATGTGGCTGATTAGATGTAAGTGGGAGACATGAGATGAGACGTCCAGTATGACTCATTTAGAGGAAGAGATAGCTGGCATATGTCCCTTTGGCTTTTCTCTTCCTTCTTCCTTTCTGCTACCTGAAACTTAGACACATGGCTGGGTCTCCAACACCCACCTCAGACTGTGAGGAACTTAAGAATGGATGTCATATATTAAGGAGGGCGTAGCAGAAAAATATCATGAACGTAGGTCCTTGATGATGTTACAGAGCTATCATACCAATCCTGGTCTGCCTACCTTCAGATTTCTTTTAAATGACAGAAAAATCAACTTCTATGTTGTTTAGGCCATTATAGTTGGGTCTCTGTTGGTCACAGCTAAATTATTATACCATCTTTCATAGGAATCCACACTAAAAGATGAATTTTACATGCGTTAGTGAAGAAACGTAGGAAATATCCAAGATGAACCAATGTCCAGAATATCTATAAGACTGGAATATAACAATAAGAGCAGAAACAACAACCTGTTATCAATTTTGTCTTGAAACATGCTAAAAGAAGGGCAATGGTCAGGGTCTAGTCTCAAAAAAATGGGAGCCAAAGAGGAAGAATTTATCTGCATTAATTCCTCTCATCTGTCAAGGAAACAAGTCACTGTACCTGATGGACACTCATGTTCTGGCCACTAGACTGATGTCCACTGCTGTGAAGCAGGAATACATTCATAAGGCTTTTCCATAGCATCGATAAAATTTCCCTCAAAACTGTCCATCTCCTTTGTGATCAGTTTTCCCACAGGTTAATTAGGCCTCTTTCGATTGCAAGGAATAGAAATCCTCTCAAAGTAGTTAAAGCACAAGTGTGTGTGTATATCTATATGGAGGAGACATGAGAAGACAAAGCTATTGTACAGATACAGAGACGTTTCAAGTGAGTCTAGAAGAAGAGGAATAACAAGGCTTTGAGTAAATCAAAAACCAGGAGCTAGCTAGCTTGTAAGAAATGAACTGGAGAGCACTGCACCTACTTCAGGGAAATGAGAAGATCCAGAGGTCCCAGAGGATGGAGAGAAGGATTAACTAATTGACTAAGTGCCCAAGGGAGAAAGAGGGGGCATTCAGGCATCAGCCACACAAAAAATCAGTGATGCCAGATTATAATAGGACTGGTCAAGTAAGACTTGATTCCCAGAGAGCAAAGGCAGGAACTAGCAAGCAAGCAGGGAGAAAGCGGAACAAACTTGTCAAAACAGATGCCCCCACCTCTGTTCCCACCTCCATCCCCACTGTCATCAAACCTGGGGGGTATAGGGAAAGAGAAGCTCTGAATTG